AAATGATGATTAGGGCAAACAAGCATGTCAGATTGGCATGATTAGATTACACGAACACTTGTGTTTGGTTCTGAGTTTAGCTCTTTAGAGCATGATTAACTGAAAATTGTATAAGCATATTGATCAGATTAATCTGTACGCTCATATCACCAAACCCACACATTCACCACACACACAGATGTTTTTTAGTATTTGACTTGATTGTTTATTTACAATTTATAGAGAATACAACAATATCGGAAATTCATTTGCCTAGTTGTTTAATTTTACAATTACAGGTCCTTATCCCGGTCTTTTCAGGAGGAAAGCAGCATGCTTCAGAGGAAAGGTTGAAGAGAGACGAAGAAAACATGACCAAACAACTAGACAAACTCGAGAATGCTTTCTTGCAGGATAATGATTGGTTGGCTGGAGATGATATCTCTGTCGCCGACGTGCTTGCCGTCTCGGAGGTTAGTATGATGGAGATTATGGTATTGATATACAATATTGGAATACAAGCAAAGAAATAATAACTGAAATAATGTTGTGTACATGTAATATATGGCCTATTTTCAATTATCATCTTGTCAATACAATATGAAGTAACGTGAATGTTTATAGATTCATGCAACAGTAGTATTGTCCTTTATCTAAAGATTTGTTTTTAGGGCCATTGCATTGTTAAGATTCACTATAGATTTCGACATAAAACGAATGTAAACTATTTAACTATTAAAACGTACTTGTTTTACTATTTCTTAAATGCTTTATGAGCACAAGCCACATTCAATTTTTTTTTTTTTCTGTTTGGTACCCTCACGGATCAGATGATGGAGAACACTGTAAATGGACGAGATGTAGCAGAGGGGCGACCTAAACTCAGGGCCTTCATAGATCGGGTGACGAATCGTCTCAATCCTGCCTTTGATGAAGTGCACGGAGCGCTGTATGCATTTAGGGACAGTTACAACAAATAGATTCTCAGTGAAAATGCTTTAGAATCACTCTCACATTTCCACAAGTCTTTATTAATATCGAATCATCTTCTATAAATCATTTGAGTCTATTGAATATGTATTTTGACGGCTCTTTGTCATCTTTGAAAATGTTTTATTCGTCTACCCTCTTTTTATTTTAATCTCCATATAACACTGGCACTGCACATTTAACTCGGAATTGTTCCCGTACCTTTTATGTTTTTCGTTTCAACCCGTTCCCTCTCTCTCTCTCTCACTCTTTTAACTCTCTCTGAATCCAATCCAATATCAGATTCAGTAGATTCTCAGCGAAAACAGTTTTGAAGGATACAAAAGGTATTTTCCCAAAACATTTCCACGGTTCTTTCTCTTCCTTCCTCTCTCTTTCTCTCTTTCTCTCTCTCTTAATCGGCGTACTTCTATTAAACTCTGTCATTCAATGCCGTGTCACCCTCTCTTCTCTCTTTCTCTCTCTCTCTCTCTCTCATTCCACTTTTGATATCTTTTATTCAGTTCTTCGCCAACTATTCATTTCTCTTTCCCGCCTAGCTCCCCCTACCTATGTTCAATTATTATACTATCTCCTTCCCATAGTTTTGATTTATGTTAAGGTGAATATTTGTTTATATTTTTGGTTGCCTCTTTTTTTATTCCCCTTACATCAACTCATTATGAATTACATTTGTCATTATTTGCTTTGTCTGCAAGTTTTCCCTTACACCAATAAAATAACGCTGATGTCAAAAGCTAGCCACCAACAAATATCAATTTATTTATTTAAAAAATATGAGTTATAATTTAGAAATGGCGATTCAAAGATTTTGTAAAGAATATCCTGTATGGACATGAAATTCTATATCCGTCTTACAAATCGCTTATAATTTTTTTTCCAAGATTCTTAGTAGGTCAGTTACAGTTCGATTGCTTTCTTCACTTCTACGCACGGTCACCCGTTTGCCACACGTACTATTTTAAACAAACAATACCCACTAATTGACAGAAGGATTGCTTTGTGTAGCAGAGTGGCTTTCCAAAAGTACCCACTTCAGGTGCTCATTAACTCCATGACAACCCTTTTGCACTAGAAACACTTAAATTATGTCTAATCCTTTAGTATATCCATCCTATTTTGAATACAAAGTTGCACAATGAGAATATTTGTGTAGCTCAAAAAGAGTTACATTTCACCATAATCTGTATTATGAAATGACTATTAGCTAAAATAAGATATTTTACGGATGTTAAATCTACCTACATTGTGCATAAAAAAAACTGATTAACACACTAGCAACATGAACATGAGCTAAATAACACTGACAGAGTCTGCTGTAAACGTGATAAATGATAAACTTGCTAATTAAAGATACTATGTCCCTTTTGCAGGCAACATCACATTATGTAGAACTTTGCAGGAATTATGAATATGTAACGTAGCAGTGTCCTAATATTCAAATTATGCAAGGAAACCCGTTTACTTGCTAGATTTCAGTGTCACACACTATTGAGTGAATGGCTGGCTTTTTTTTTATTCTTTGGTAACAACATACATATTAAAAATGAGCTGTAATGGGTATACGAGCATTTGTCTACATGTACATCACTAACCCACTTTATGTAATGGCCAAAATTAGACTGATTGATTCTTTGCTCAGCATAAAAAACGTACGACCATTCGGTACAATGGTCTGAAAATCAGACTCTAACTTTCTGGCTCTATAGCTCGATTCGACAACTAATAGTCGTTATTTTCCCACTTACAGACATTTTCAGGGCCCCCCCCCCCCTCCCCCCTCCCCCCCCCCCCCTTTTTTTTTTAGGGAAATTCTAAATTAGTATTATCTTTCAAATGCCGTTGGAATTTGACCTTTTCATTTGTTTGACCTTTAAATGTTGAACTTGCAATATTATTCTAATGTCTACTGTCCAAATACTTGATTGCTAATCACAGGCCCCTAGGAACAGTAGCCTGGGCAGGTCGCCTGGTGTGAGAATTCAATTTCTTTGACGAACGATATTATTTTTTTGTAAATGTGTCCTGAACGGAAATATGACGATGATTGTACAAAGGATGAAAAGATGAAGAGAATGAGTTATAAATAAGGATGGAAAGTCGATCCGAGAAAGTGAGGGCGGGAGTGTGTGCGTGTGGATACGCGTATGAGGTTTACGGGTGTATAGAGATTGAGCATTATCCTGTTGAAAGGGTTTGCAAGATTGTACTTTCAACTGACCAAGGGCAATATTCTTAAGATTTTTTGAGAATGAACGATGTTGTTGACGATAACCTACTGTTTGCTAAAAGTCACCGCTTACGAATGAACACACTTGAGTGACACCAGGGGCGTACGCAGGATTTTTTCAAGGGGGGGGGGTTAAAATCGGGCCCAAAATATTTTGCTGAAAAATAAAAAATCGCGCCGGCCGAAAAGTCGCTCAGTGGAGGGGGGGGGGGGGGTGGTAAGCGTACACTTTTTTTGGGGGGGGGGTCTCGAAATATGAAAATTGACATTTTTCTTCGTTGGGAAGGGGGGTAAGGTTACCTTTTTTAGGTTAGCCGTGGGCATATATATATATATTTTTTTTTTACGCCCCTGAGTGACACCATTGTGCTAATACTCGTTAAGATGATGGCTAAACCTTTAATGAAACAAGCAACAAACAAAACATATAAGCTGGTAAAATGAATAATAAAGCTTTGTAACAAGCGACCAATGACAATGACAATGACAATTTATTGTCATGTCACCCACATTGGGGTATTGGAAAAGTTTACAATCAGTTTGAATTTGTCAATTTAACACTGTACAATATATACCCCCCTCTTTGTTTTATTATTAACCACACCATTCCTCCCCCTCCCCCCCCCCCCCCCCCCCACTCTTTATTGCTAATGGAAGCAATTGGAAAAGAAAGTTACCGGCAGCAGAAAATTGTTATTTGAATTAATGAATCACTGAAAATGTTCTTGATATCATTTTAATAATTTGATATCAGAGAAAAAGGAGAAACATAAAGAAAATATTGAACTCATAACATGTGATACATGTGCACATACTTAAATTATATTTACACATCGGAGTAAAGGCATTGTTTATTTAAGTAAAAGCTATACTGGCTGCCCTTGTCCTCTACAAATACATTAATGAGGCATCTACAGAATACTAAAGACTAATATTATATTAATTAAGTATCTATGTGTGTGTGTAATTGGCTTTTTACAGACGTGTATCAATCAGATATACATATATGTATGTGTAGGCTTTGCCACCAGCGCACTTTTACGAGTATTATGGCGAAACTGGCCAGGCTAGCGCGTGAAAAAAAAATCGAGGCCGGGGCATATCTGTTCAGAGGCTGCTCGGAGATTGTACGGATATACCGCAATTTTAATGCGGTAGCCGTGCAGTCTCCGCAGCCTCCGGCACGGAAATCGCACGGAGCCCGTGCAGCTTCCGTGCAGAGGTTGCGCGGAGAAGGCGCGGTGACCTTACGGGGATGGTGCAATGCTACCTTCGACATGTCTACGGGCTACTGGCTCACTATTTTTTCAAATTTGTATAATTTTCCGCAGACTATTCACAGGCCAAATGTAAACTAGGCATTAGCTGTTGTTTGCTTTAGTGTACTAGCAGACCGTGACCTTCGATCAGAACAAACATATAATATGAATACAATTTAGAGATAAAGGGAGGTCAAAATTGTCTACTGGTCTCGAGGCATTTCTCATTTTCCTACATAACTCCCCTCGCCTCCCTTTACAAAAAGTACACATTAATTTTATTAAAAGGATTGATGTCGCTGTAACCGAGAAAAAGTTTTAATATAATTTGCTCACACAACCCAACTTCACAATCGAATTTAGGAAAAAGATTAATGCATTCGTACAATGCATAAAATGGTGCAAAGTGTTGTCAAACGACCCTCTCCCTTTTTCGAGTACACCGTTATTCCATGGTCATACCTACCAGACTTACAGGACAAAGTTCGGTCGTTCACGTGACCTGTCTTTGAATCGTCATATTGCCTCCGACCTGAAGAGTGGTTACTTCTGGGTCGATCCTCATTGTTGAAGGGCACACTCACTACGTCCACGTTTGACGACAGGAATTCATCATGGTTGTCAAGGTTTACGTTGATCTGCTCTCCCAGCCTTGCCGGGCTCTCATCTTATTCCTCAAGAACACCAAAATTCCGTTCGAAATTGAGACGATTAATCTGAATGATGGTAAGCTTGCCAATCTTTTCCTCGCATCATATTTATTATGTTTATCTCATAATTTCCACCCGAAAAAAAAAAATTACGTAAACTATTGATATCCATGAAATGAAACTCGCCTAGCTTTCCTCTCTTAAAGCAACTCAATCTGCACCAAATGGCTTCGATTTTAATTGTAAACCGGTGTCTCAATAGATTTGCTATGATTACAATGGCGAGTTTATATTCGATGAATGCTTAGTATATGTAATACATTTTTTGTTTCTGATTGTTTCTATTCATTCCCTTATCTTATGAAGCGGATTCTTTACCGCATGCAATTTTATATGATTCATTGCTTGTCTGGAAACAAAATGCCTTTGCAAGTTTTGGGTCTTCTTCTTAATATCGAGTCACTACACAAGTCCCGTCCAGTGTTCCACACAGGCTTTGGCACGGCAATTAACGGCTTCCAGGTCATCTTGGGTGCATGGCTCTGGCAGGAGTGGGCAGACTAGCAGGTGTTCCATTGTCTGTTCCTGGCCGCATTCACATGCCGTTTGTTCGTCTCCTAGACCCCACCTCTGCATTAGGACTCTGCATCGACCGTAGCCAGTTCTTAGGCGGTTGAGGCTAAGCCAGGTAGGCCAAGTCTCACTGGAGCCGGTTGCGAGGGATTCCTTCGGGCTGAGGGAGAGTTTATGTGGAGTGGTCTGAAGGTGGTTAGACCACAAAGTCATCCTTTGGTTGTGAGGGCTAGTATTAAGAGGCTCTACCGAGTGCAGAAAGCTGTGTCTGGATTTGAGCCGCTTGCCCACTGGCTGCTGTTCGATGAGTGGGTGGAGTGGATTGTTTTCTTGTTTGTCCTTTTCTTTCTGGGACAAGACCAACCTTCTGACGTGTGGAGGGGCAATACCGCAGAGCAGGTAGATGTCTTCTACTTTAGTTGGCCTTAGGCATCCAGTGATCGCTCTGCAAGATGAATTTAGAGCTGGGTCAATATTGGGTGCATGGGCCGACCTACTCCATACTGGTGATGCATACTCCGCAGCAGAGAAGCAAAGCGCGAGGGCTGTCGTCCGGATTGTTCTGGCATCAGTCCCCCAGTTGGTGTTGGCTAGCTTCTTGAGGATGCTGTTGCGGGCTCCAACTTTTGCCTTTGTGTTGGCAATGTGGTTCTTGTAGGTAAGGGAGCGATCGAGTGTGACGCCTAAGTAGACTGGGTTGGGAGTGTGCTTCAGCCTTTTCCCATACCAGCTGATCCTTAGTTGATGGTTGGCATCCCTGTTCTTGAGGTGGAATGCGCTTATCTGAGTTTTATCAGGGTTAGCTCTCAGGTGGTTGGTCGCATAGTATGGGATGAGACCGGCCAGGGCATCACTGAGGAACTCCTCCAACTTCACAAAAGACTGGTTCTGGGTGGTGATGCAGAGATCATCGGCGTGGAGGAAGCTCCTGGTGTTTGGGTGGATCGGTTGGTCATTCGTGTACACGTTAAAGAGTAACGGTGCAAGCACACTTCCTTGTGGTAGGCCATTTTTCTGTCTGCGCCATCTGCTGCGTTTTCCATTGAGATCCACAAAATATCGCCGATTGGACAGCAACGTCTGGATGAGTCCAGTCAGTCTCACGTCCTTTGTCAGCTCAAAGATCTTCCTGGTAAGGATTCTGTGGTTCACGGTGTCGTAGGCAGCAGAGAGATCAACGAAAGCAGCTCCGGTGATTAGCTTACTCTCATACCCGTCCTCAATGAACTGAGTGAGGTTTAGGAGTTGGCCAGTGCATGATTTTCCTGGCCTAAACCCTGCTTGTTCTGGAATGAGATGTTCATCCACGAATGGGGCGATGCGGTTGAGGATAAGCCGCTCGAACAGCTTATATGTATGGCACAGTAGGGAGATAGGCATGTAGCTCTTTGGACTGGCTGCGTCTTTACCAGGCTTCAATAGGGCAATAACTTTGGATTTCCTCCAGAGCTTTGGGATGTTGTTGGTGCCCAAACATTCGTTGAACATTTTGAGAAGCCAGTTGAGGGCGCCTGGTCTAAGCTGTTTGATCTGCTCGCAGAGGATGTCATCAAGTCCAGCAGCTTTGTTATTTTTCTTTGCTTTGATGGCAGCAAGCAGGTCGTTCATAGTGAATGGTCTAGTGAAGCCTGGGTCATCTTGAGAGCTTAGAGCGTCTGGGACCTTAGGGAGTCTGGCTCTTCTGGGGTGATCGTCAGGGTTTTCCCGACCATTCAATAGGAGTTGATGGGCAACTTGGTAAGCAGTGACTTCAGATCTTGGTTGGGCCTTTGTATAGTCATTGCCCAGTATCCGGATCGTTTTCCATGCCTTCCTGCTGCTATGTGTCATGTCAGTGGATTGAATGAATTCCTGCCACTTCCTCCTTCTAGATTCACCAATTTCCTTGGTCAGATTTTCTCCAGATTCCAGTGTCTCCTCACTAAAGGGGTCTATCTGGAAGTGTTCGATGTAGTCTTCATACATCACCTTGGAGTGGTCCGTCAAGTCTTGAATGTAGCTTGTGCGACATCCTCGGGGATGTTACGCCTTGACGATTTCTTCATCAACTCTACAAAGGTGTCGTAGTTTTGGGGGTGGCAGGTAGGTCCTGGATGTAGGAGTCAAAGTCCTTGGCAAACTTTTCCCAGTTTGCCTTCCTCAGGTTGAAACGACGTCGGAAGGGTACTGCTCGTGGAGTAATGACTGCATTAACCTTAAGCCCTATCGGTCGGTGCTGGGAGTGAGGGATTGGGTCGAGAATGACTTTCTCGCACTGGTTAGCAATCCTGGTAGATGTAAATATCAGGTCAGGGTTGTAGCCACGTCTCCACCTTGCACTGTTGAAAGAGGCAGGAAGCTTAGCGTCATGAATGAGGGACAGCTGGTTAGCATCTGCCCATGTCTCAACGAGTTCACCATCTTCGTTCATTTCTCTATATCCCCAGGGAATGCTATGGCTGTTGAAATTACCAATGACCACATTCATCCTGCCGTCAGTAGCTCTGCCGGGCAGGTCGAAAGGCTCTTGAGGTGGCTTGTACACGGAGCTTACGGTGATTCCCATTAGGTCAATAGAAAGGACTTCAATGTTATTGATGTCTGATAGGTAAGATTTGTCCACAGCAAGACCATTACGAGCAAAGATTGCACTTCCGAATTGGTCATGTGGTCTCTCTGCGATGAGGGTCATTCCGGAGATACGAGGGCGAACTCGTGTAGGCCCGCGATGGGTCTCCTGGAGGCAGAGAATGTCACAGTTGGTTGTTATGCATAGGTCAGCCAAGAGTTCTTGTTTGGCGCCTGAAAGACCTTCAATGTTGGATGAGATGATACTCAGGGCCGGTCCTGACAAGGACCCATGAGTTCGACCCTGGGCCTCAGCAACAAATTGGTCATCATTGTCATTGGTAGCCATGGTGTTGGTTGTGGTAGTTACTAAAAGAAACTTGAGTAGTGTGGTTGAAGGATTCGCAGATTTTCATCTGACAGACCGCGACGTGAACGCTCCTTCAATGGCCCCACTGTTTTTACTGTTCTCCTACACTTAACTATAGTCTAGATACAGTACAGGTGATTGATCTGCAGTAACCTCTAAGTAAGCTATATGGCAATGCAGCAGAATTAATGATAGTCTATCGTATATATTTTGAGGAGGTATCAGCAAGGTAGACTAAACTATAAAAAATATTTTTTTTAAAAGATAAAGACGTATGACATAAAAAGAATATAATCGAAATGCCCGACTAGGTTCCGTGGCACAAACTCGGCATTATTGGACAAACCTACCATTGGAGAAACCTAACAATTACAGAGCTTGGTCTTGTTGCTCTGTTCGCCAGCAGTTTAAGGATATGAAACCCCGCGGCACACTACTCACAAGAGCTCTAACAAGCCAATATTATACAGAGCCTAAAAGTAAAATAAAATAATACCGCGTATGTACCACTCACCCAATCGATTCAAGAACAAATTATAATTAAGTTAATCACGTAAAACAGGAAAATATAAAAACAATAATTTAATGAATACCAAATTGTGAACTATAATAATATTATCAGCACTCAAACACACCCAACTCACATATCAGTACAAAGCGTAATATATTTATCTTTACAAATCCAGTAATATAATTATTTATTATTATTATTATTATTCATTTATTTATTTATTTATTATTCATATTATTTCATATTAATAGTAACATAAAATGTTCATATTGTAATAAAGGACAATTCCTCTGCGCGTACTTCAAATGAAAGGCGCTGGCGCAGGTGTATATGCGCAATTAAAAACAAAGAAGTAATAAAACAAATAACAGAGTGCGCAATATGTTGTCACTGACAACAGGTGTTCAGCACTACGCGCAGCAAAAACAACTGCAATTTTGACTTCCTTCACTATCAAAAAACCAAAATTTGATCACTAAATCACCAAATATATGAAAATCAAAAAGCTAAATCAAAAGACTCATCCTAGAAATGGCTTGTACGCGTCCAGATCATCACTTTAGTACCAATCACAGCATAGAAACAAACGCCAAAACGGAAATAATATGAGAAACAAGGGAGCTCAGCAGAAACACGTCCGCCCCCACTTGCAGCTCCCCTTCAAGTTTTGGGTGAAACATGTCTCATGCAAAAAAGCAACCACTTTCACAAAAATTAACGCATTTTTACCATTCTAATAGTTTTCAAAACTCGTCTTGGCTCTGTTCCAGACTATTAGCAAATGTCATGTATATTTTATTAGTATATATCTGGATTTCGACACTCCATTCTCCATTTCGGCATTAAACTGTGGATATCTTTTTTGAGGAGGACCTTCGGCAGTTTAAAGTGTAATTTCGAGTTATAATAATGATATAACATATCCACCATCTATCTATAATTTTCTCTGTGCTACTATATAGAGAATAGCCAACATATTTTCTGTTCTTGTTTCAAATGGGCCGGGTAAGTCTGGTCATTAAGATTATTCAGCTTAGCATATTGCAAAAGTTATTGTACCAAAAATAATTGCAGTAATCAATATTCTCAAAATAGTATCACATAACAAACCAAGATGACCGCCATTAAGTGTAGGTGTTGTAAATCCGATGTGGTGAATAAGCTTTACAATGCTTGCATGAAATAATTGTTAATAAATTAAGTTTGATAAAACTTAAGTTTTTAAAGCCCAGTTTAAGGGTCTGAATTGTATTAATATTCCGTGATTGCATCCAAAACTTATGGTTGGATTTAAAATACAATTAAAAATACAAACAGATAGAAAACAATGGTAAAACTGTACACAGAGTCATAGAAACTGTCAAATGTGATTTACAAATATGATTAAAAATGGGCTATAATGTGCTACAATCAAATTATTACACATAAAATAAATCAAAGCAAGCACATATGTAAAATATTTTAATGATTTTAAAGAGCGTCAGAGTTAATTAGGGTATGTGTAACTGTAACTTTAGCAGTTTTTAATGAAATTGCTAATCATAATGGATTTAAAACGAAAGCACAGATTCAAAAAACATTACATAGATTCAAAATCGAGTTACATCTGAGAACTTTAAAGTGAGACCAATGCTAAGTTGTACTTAGTAGTACGAAGGCACCGGTCAGGCTGTCCACTCCCTCTAAACATCGCTGGATATCTATCACATCGGTGTGTCAACATTGCCCATATCCTCTTCAAAGATTCATCAATCAATTTCAAGAAGATTTGAAGCTGGACGATGGACTGTAAACAAGTAAAATATCCCAAATATGTTAATATTCAACCTGTTATTGGTTTTTAATATCTCATTCTGTACCTCAGATTGCTCTTACAGCTCAAGGGCACCTTCAGCCCACCCCTTTCTTTTCTTTTTACCTTTTGGATGTCTGTGGTAGGTGACTCGGCAGATATGTATAGGCTCGGTTGGACTTAAGGTTCTGGTAAACATTCTTTTCATTGGCTTTGCTTAAGTTCTTTAATAATCAAATGTAAGCTAGAACAGCCAATGGATATTTTCACCAGGATCTCCTCGTTGGTTTTGTCAAAAGCGTTACTATCTCATTTTGTTGTTGGGCAATATTTTGTCCCCGATCACATTCATTATCGACTGTAGCATCAGTGACAGTATAACCTGTATAATAAGTGGCGTCCGTACAGGGTCATACATTTTCTTCTTTCTTTCTTTTGTAATATGCGTATCTTAAAAATTGAAATATATAAGTGTAAAAGACATTGAAGATTTTTGCTTAAAGGAACGTTAACATTAGTTAGTGAAGTAATAATTCTTATCTTTAACAAGAAAAGGAACGATAGAACATTAAATTTCATACTGTTTCGTGTTTTATTAGTATCATGATCATTGTTCCAAACATGATTGAACAAGATGTGTATTTTTTAGATTATTTTATAACTAATTTATTTATCAACCTTTATACTTCCTCATTTATTTATTTATTTATTTTTGTATTTTTTTAATGATTACATTTTCATTTATGTTGCTTATTTTCAGGAGGTCACAAGAAACCTGAGTTTGTGAAGATGACTCCTCTCTGCACAGTACCTGCCATTCAAGATGGAGACTTTGGCATGGGGGAAACGTAAGCTGTTTTTCACTTTTGTTTGTTCCAGAGATCGTTAATATTGTTATGTTGTGCGTTGTTTACACGGAATGTCATAAAAAAGAAATTTAAGCCTATTTACTTAACATGTACTCCAGATATCGCGATATTACAAACACGTTAAAGGTGGAAGAATAAAATAAATATGGTGCAGTTGTAATGCAGCCTTCATCGTCACTTCACGAATTGGAATGAATTTAACTGCTAATGATTTGACATTAATATACTACAGGTGTAACAAACATAATATGGAATAGAACAAAGAATATCAAAACAAGTAAAGGAAATATGATTCGGATTCAGTATGAGCTAATAGAGAAAGGGGGCATTGAAGAGTTTTCTACGTTGCATGTCTCATCTGGCATTGATAACATTTAGGTCGATATTTCGGAGTGCATATAGCATAGTAAAATAATATTTTGGCGAGAAATGCGAAGGAATATATGTCATAGGTACGAGTGGACCGTATAGTATATATTGTGTATCCATTTTATCGGTAAACTTTGCGGATCCACAGAACTGGGGTTTAAGTCCCACCTCTATTTGAAATTAAATTTAAATCGAAAAGGTAAAATTCACCTCTCCCTCATGCGCCTTGGCAGGTTCAGCGGATTTAAAATAAATTGATTGACCCCCTCCCCTCCCCCCCCCCTCCGGAGGGCCGACAGGGTTGCCTAAATCAAATCCCTGGGAAAAGTTATTCTGGAGAATTTCCATCCCTAACTACCCCTCTCCCCCCCCCCCTCCCCACCCCCCCCCCCCTCCCTCCCCTCTCCCCACCCCCCTTCCCCCATTTCAATTCAAGTATGGATATGTTTATTTTTTGTTGTTAATGCTCGATGAAAACTAATAAAACGCTGCATTACAAAAACAATATACTACAAACTACATCGTTACCAATGTGTTGTATTTGTGCTCACATTTTATAAGTTGTCTTTCCGTTTAAATTCTAATACATCAAAAATTGTAAGGCACAAGGCTGCACTTTGGAGAGACATGCTTTGAGCATGATCATTATTTTCCCGCGGGATACCTTTAAGATCAACATCTATTTTATGCAATGTATACTTCAAAATGTTCTTTTAATTATAAAACAGTGTGGCGATTATTCGTTACTTGGCAACAAAGTATGCAGACCTAGTCCCAGACCACTGGTATCCAAAGGACCTGGAGAAAAGAGCCAGAGTTGATGAATACATGGCCTTTCATCATACAGGAACTAGAGGAGGATGCGGTGGGCTCTTCTTCAGTGAGGTGAGATTAACTATCAAAGTTGCTACTGTCATCAGTTTACGACAAATGATGCTTAAGCGACATTTCCTCCTTAAATGCTATAAAATGATGATTAGGGCAAACAAGCATGTCAGATTGGCATGATTAGATTACACGAACATTTGTGTTTGGTTCTAAGTTTAGCTCTTTAGAGCATGATTAACTGAAAATGTTATAAGCATATTGATCAGATTAATCTGCCCGCTCATATCACCAAACCCACACATTCACCACACACACAGATGTTTTTTAGTATTTGACTTGATTGTTTATTTACAATTTATAGAGAATACAACGATATCGGAAATTCATTTGCCTAGTTGTTTAATTTTACAATTACAGGTCCTTATCCCGGTCTTTTCAGGAGGAAAGCAGCATGCTTCAGAGGAAAGGTTGAAGAGAGACGAAGAAAACATGACCAAACAACTAGACAAACTCGAGAATGCTTTCTTGCAGGATAATGATTGGTTGGCTGGAGATGATATCTCTGTCGCCGACGTGCTTGCCGTCTCGGAGGTTAGTATGATGGAGATTATGGTATTGATATACAATATTGGAATACAAGCAAAGAAATAATAACTGAAATAATGTTGTGTACATGTAATATATGGCCTATTTACAATTATCATCTTGTCAATACAATTTAAAGTAACGTGAATGTATATAGATTCATGCAACAGTAGTATTGCCCTTTATCTTAAGATTTGTTTTTAGGGCCATTGCATTGTTAAGATTCACTATAGATTTCGACATAAAACGAATGTAAACTATTTAACTATTAAAACATACTTGTTTTACTATTTTTTAAATGCTTTATGAGCACAAGCCACATTCATTTTTTTTTCTTTCTGTTTGGTACCCTCACGGATCAGATGATGGAGAACACTGTAAATGGACGAGATGTAGCAGAGGGGCGACCTAAACTCAGGGCCTTCATAGATCGTGTGACGAATCGTCTCAATCCTGCCTTTGATGAAGTACACGGAGCGCTGTATGCATTTAGGGACAGCTACAACAAATAGATTCTCAGTGAAAAATGCTTTAGAATGACTCTCACATTTCCACAAGTCTTTATTAATATCGAATCATCTTCTATAAATCTTTTGAGTCTATTGAACATGTATTCTTTACGGCTCTTTGTCATCTCTGAAAATGTTTTCTTCGTCTACCCTCTTTTTATTTTAATCTCCATATAACACTGGCACTGCACATTTGACTATCAATTTGTTCCCGTACCTTCTTTGTATTACGTTTAAACCCGTTCCCCCTTTCTCTCCCTCACTCTTTTAACGCTCTCTAAATCCAATCCAATATCAGTAGATTCTCAGCGAAAACAGTTTTGAAGGATACAAAAGGTATTTTCCCCAAACATTTTCCCCCATATCACATCTCTCTTTTCTCTTTCGGGTAATATTCATTTCCACGTCTCTTTCTCTTCCTTCCTCTCTCTTTCTCTTTCTCTCTCTCTCTTAATCGCCGTACTAACAATTTAATGATCTTTAATCCTTTAGTATATCCATCCCATTTTGAATACACAGTGGCACAAGGAGATTATTTTTGTAGCTTAAAAAGAGTAACATTTCACCGAAATCTGTAATGCAATGGTTGTTCATTAAAAATATATTTTTTTCTAGATGTTACATTAACCTACATTTTGTAAAAACATAATTAACACACTATCGACTTGAACATGAGCTAAATAATAATGACAGAGTCTGCTGTAAATATGGTAAATGTGAAACTTGATAATTAAATGTTGAACTTGCAAGTTTATCATAATGTTTACCGTCCACATACTTGGCTGCTAATCACAGGCCGCTGGGAAGCGTAGCCTGGTGTAGAATTGCATTTTCTTTTACGAACGATTTTATTAAAAAAATTGAGTCCCGAACAGAATTATATGACGATGATTGTACAAAGGTTGAAAGGAGGGATAGAATGAGTTATAAATAAGGATGGGAAGACGATCCGAGAAAGTGAGGGCGGGAGTGTGTATGTGTCGGGGTACGTGTGTGAGGTTTACAGGGGTACAGAGCTAGATCGGTATCCTGTTGAAAGGATTTGCAAGATTCTACTTCTAACTGACGGAGGGCATTATTCTTAATATTTGTTTAAGAATGGACCAATTGTTAACAATAACCAGCTATTTGCTAAAAGTCACCGGTGACGAATGAACACACTAGAGTGACTATTGTGCTGATACCATAACTCGTTCAAATTATGGTTGAATCTTTTAATAAAACAGGCAACACACAGTTATAAGCAATGTTAATTTTCAAAGCTGCCAATGAGCATACATATAAGCTGATAAAATTAATTATACAGCTTTGTAAAAACTGTGTACATGCTCACTTTCCTTTGTAAATGTTATCGTTGTACCTAATAAATATAATAATAAACCGAGAAATAATTGTAAACTTCTTGTACATAAATGCTTATCTTGTTCTACCAAAGCTTTAAGTCAGGGGATTTGGAGTTTTTAAACTGCCATAGTATACCGAGATGTATCATGTTTGTTGTTGTAAAATGACGTGATAACACATGAAATACATACGTTCTTATAAGTTATAAACGATTACTAATCGTTATTAATGATAGACCTAATATATTATACACCAATAATAGAGCCTACATGCATACAACAAGCTTGGGCCCTCTGAATGAAGAACCAATACCTATATATGTATACTATATTGTATGGCCTACCTAAATACCATTTATATACCAACATGAATACATTTATCATACAAAGTTTCTTTCTTACTCCTTCTCAACCTTTTATAAGCCAGGTCAAAACATAACTTTGATTTTTAACATCTTTCACCGAACCAGACCCTCGCATGTGACTAGTCAATTTTACACACTCCATAATATCCAATAGGACACTGCAAAAGCTGTACTTAAACATCCACATTTACAACTCAAATTTTAATAGCTCACTCAAATTTCTTCAACAGCTTCAAACAAGAAAGGAAACACTAAATATCAACGCTCTTTAGTTATTTTCTACTTGCAATATTGGACTTGTATGAAAAACAACAAATAAAATGATGCTTGTCAAACTAAAGCGATAGAAACATCACTAAACTAAAGTACAACAGACTATATTAGCTTAAAAAGATAGAAACGTCGTGTATTAAACTACTGACCAAACGAAAACAAAGTAGGAATAGGAATGTGGAATGGAGTCTGAGGGGAACGAGCAGAAGGTGCTCGAAACAGTGGACGAGACAACATTTCAAAGGCAATATTTGTTAGGGACATACCGGAAGGATCGATGGATGGCATAGGGGAAGAGGTAGACCAATGAAAAGAAAGGACTGTCTGACCTGATGAGGACAGCAAAGTATACGTATGACTCAGCAAAGAAGGCTTAAGTCAGTTGGCGATAAGGACAGCATTAATTAAATGATGACATCCGTTCAAAGATAATATGATTGTCACAACCCATGGAAACTTTCTTCCTTAAACCCACATGAGCAATGTTGATATGTCCGTTCTCGATAGAGTTTTACAGACACTCGAGGAAAGGCATCACGATTCAGAAGTCAAAGTCAATTATTTTCAAACTTAAGTTACACAATTCTAACACCCAAATTGGCAGTGCTCTTCATTTTATTTTAGTGTGTAGACTTGACCTTCGATCTCAACAAATACATCCAGATAAATAAAAGTTGCGTTAAAGGTTAAACACATACAGCAGAGGCAAGGTACCCGCCCCTTCGGCGCGCGCCCAAACGCAAACACACACACACACACACACACACACACACACATTTAACACACACCAACGAAAGTACTTTTATATTGGCACATTTCTTTAAAATCCTTTATCTTCTTTCCTCCGTTAAAACGGATATTTTTCTTTCCTCGAAATAATCAACATCAGCACTTCAGTAGAATTCAATATGATTCGAAAAACGCGAAAGCCGTCTCATAATCACGATAATCCTGTTATTTTCATAATTCCAATTTTAATACCTACCGCATATGTGCGATACTAGCTTCAGCTGAACGCCGAATTCGTCACCCTTTCCGGGACCCTTTCCCGGTTTGAGTACTGCCAAAACATGAAAATGGGCATGATCCCACAAAACAACTATTATTGTACTAATAATAGGGACACGCAAAGCTTATCAGAATTTTACAGTATATAATAAGGTATCGTTGGCCATTGTCCGCCAGCGCAGAGTGATGCATGGGTTTGCTAAGCTTACTGAATCTGGCCCCGAGTTTATTGCTTACAACAGTCCAATTACAGCCTCTTGTTTTGGGTTTGTTTTTGTTTTTTAGTTAGATAAAAAGGAAAATTAAAATAGTGGGGTATTCTCCCAGAGACCAGGCTATTTTTTAAAAGTTTGGAATAAATTAAAATTCCATTTTAGTATTTAAATTCATGCAGATTGATATCTCCGGGCTCGCGCCCATAGGGTCTTATTAACTTTTAAAAATAGCTATACCTTTTTTCATTTGTTTTCCATTCCCTCAAGACTCACATGCTGGTCAACACTTAGCTGTCGTTCGATTTCGTGTCCTAGCAAAACATGACCTTCGATCAGAACAAACATATGATATGAATACAATTTACAGATAAAGGAAGGTCATAATTGTTTAAGGTCTCGAGGCATTTTCCTTTCCCCACTCCCCTCGCCTCCCGTTACAAAAAGTACACATTTATTCAAGGATTGATGTCGCTGTAACCGATAAAATAAAACACAATTTTTATCAATTTTTTTTACAGAACCTAGCTTCAAAATCGAATTTAGGAAAAGGAATACTGCATTCGTACCATACATGAAATGGTGAAAAGTGTTATCCAAAAACCCTCTCCTTTATTTCGAGAACACCGTCATACCTACCAGACTTACAGGACAGAGTTCGGTGATTCACGTGACCTGTCTTTGAATCGTCATATTGCCTCCGACCTGAAGAGTGGTACTTCTGGATCGATCATCATTGTCGAAGGGTACACTGTCTCTTGGTCCACTTCTTACGAAAGGAATTCATCATGGTTGTCAAGGTTTACGTTGATTGGCGCTCCCAGCCTTGTCGGTCTCTCATCATATTCCTCAAGAACACCAAGATTCCCTTCGAAATTGAGACGATTACTCTGAAGGATGGTAAGCTTGCCAATCTTTTCCTCGGATCATTTATTATGTTTATCTCATAATTTCCACCCGAAAAAATAAATATTTTACGTCAATTATTGATACCCATCAAATGACACTCGCCTACACCCACAACAAAAAGTGAGTCACCCTTACTCAAATTGATGAGTCACTGGTTTGTCCGTACAGCGAAACACTTGAAGGATCATGTGAGTCACTATGACTCGATACAAATGAGTCTTATTTATCTAAGAGACTCATTTGTATCGAGTCATAGTGACTCACATGATCCTTCAAGTGTTTCGCTGTACGGACAAACCAGTGACTCATCAATTTGAGTAAGGGTGACTCACTGTTGTGGGTGCATCATGACATAGACCCCCCTACTCCCTAGGCCTATCACACACATACCATACCATGCCAGAGTCACTGTCCACATTTGCAATGGAAAATATATCCTAAAATATCACATTTTAGCGATGTAATCGGTGGTCCCGCTACCCGAATCTGAAAAATCTACTTTGTACGCACTAAATTAAGCCTTAACTTGAGATTTATTTGTCACCTATACTGTCACGAAACAATCTTGAATTAATTCGTTTTACATCAAATAACAAGGATCTAGGAGTTTCGTTGTATAAAACAATGATGCAAGATCATGCATGTTTTCATTCGACACGGCTTCGTGCGATACAGTAGAATCTATACACTATGAACATGACTGACAATGAGAGCGGACAAAATATACAGTTCCTCAGGTAGACAAAGGAACATCCCTTCACAGCTATTATGTAAAAAGGCGAATATGCATGTGACACCTGTTCTACACATTTTTACATAATAGCAGTAAGGGATGTTCCTTTGTCTACCTGAGGAACTGTATATTTTGTCCGCTCTCATTGTCAGTCATGTTCATAGTGATAGTTAAGTTACACACAGCCTCATCAACTCGAGTGCGGATATCGTAAAATGAACGCATGCATCATTTGTATAATAATCAGAAGAATCAGCCCACGAATCCAGTCATAAAAATCATCGTTTAAAACCATATGAATAATTATGCGTACCAATTTTTCACTAGCTGCAGTCAAAACTCTTCTGAATCCAAGATATAAGATGGCGACGTCGCGTCGTCGATCGGGAATTCAAATATGGCTCGAGAATGCGCATTTTGGATGAAGTCACGAAAACATGCGCGCGCATGCATACAGCCTCACTTTCAAGTTGACTCACTTTTTTCTTCTAAAATGCTCTTATGTCGATCTTGACTCATTTCTTACGACCATGTGAGTCAGTCGAAGCATTTTGCAAATGCGTCAGCTCATGATTGACACACTGGTGAAATATAAATGAGTCAATAGAGACTCATTGGTTGTTACTAATGAGTCAATTTACACCTGACTCACGAAAATTATGCTTAAATGTGTCAAATGACTCACTTTTTGTTTTGGGTGTACTTGTCTGGAAACGAAATGCCTTTGTAAGTTTTGAATGTCTCAAGCAAGGAAGCAACCACTTTGATACGAAAGTTTACTATTCTTAGAGTTTTCAAAACTCTTATTGGCTCTGTTCCAGACTATAAGCAAATATAATGTATATTTTTAGTATATTAGCTTTCTTGATTTCGGCACTCCTTTCTCCATTTCAACTCTGGATTTTTCTCTTTTTTTTGAGGAGGACCTTCAGCAGTTTAAAGTAGCATTTCGAGTTATAATAATGATAGTAAGCAAATAATTACCGTTGGTGTAGGCGATGGGACAAACTATCACTTCCGAGGCGATCTGGATGTAGCTATCTTTCCGAAGCGAAGCTGAAAAAAGATGGCGTATAAATTCAGATTGCCGAGGAAGTGATAGTTTGCCATCGCCTAAAACCAAAAGGTGATTATTTGCTTTGTATTCCACATCGGAAACATTTCACTTCTTCCGTCATTTTAGAGCAACAAGTCTTTAATTAATTAACAGCTAGCTATCAAACGGTGTACGATACGTACAGTGCATGCAGTATAGTATGGTGGTGTGACCATAATAGTTCGCGCGTGACCAAAGTTCGCGTACTAATACTAAAAGCGCTTAAAGAGGTGAGCAATACGCAGCGTATACAATTAAAGTGCGTTGCACTGTGTAGATAGTACTACTATCTACACAGTGCAACGAACTTTTCTTCTCCCATCAATGATGGGCGAACTATCTTTCATCATGTGACTTACTTTTGACCAATCGTATAGCAAGATTCTAGTATGTGGAATATAATACTATATATCCATCTATCGACTTTGTTGCCAGAGCTGCTGTAAAGATTTATTGTTTACTAGAGGGAATGATATTTTGGTTATTACGAGGTTATTATGAAGGAATTGCTCACGGGGAGACTGTTTTCATGAGCACTTTATGAGCAGATATGGGTATTCAAAACGTCATCTAATGAATATCCAACACATTTTCTTTTTTTTTGTTAATGTGTTGAATAATTATCTTCTCCTGAGGAACATTCAGCCTAGCATATTGCAAAAGTCAATATACCAAAATTAATTGCAGTAATCAAGATATGACATGACGATCATTAATTGCAGGTATTATAGATGGGAGTAGTGGTGAATAAGCGTTACCATGCTTGCATGAAATAATTGTAAATGTATTCATGTTTATCAAGCTTAAGGTTTTTTAGCCCATTTTAAGGGGTTTAATATTATCATTTCTCGAAAACTTGAGATTGGATTTCAAATGCAAATAAAGAACACAAACATATCGATAGCAATGGTAAAAAAAACGTACACAAAGTCAAAAAAGCTGTCGAATCAGATTCACAAAGATATAAATAACAATGTGCTACAATCAAATTATTACACATCAAAGAAATTGAAGTAAGCTCTTGTGTACAATATTTCATAATGATTGTATATGACGTCATAATTAATTAGAGGATGTGTGTTTGTAAATTGAGCAGTTTGTAATGAAATTGGTAATCTAATGGATACAAAAAAAAGGAAACTCAGGTCAAGAAATTTGCATAGTTTCAGAATCAAGTTTGATAACTTAAGAATAAGAGTGAAAACAATGCATAGTTGTGCATATGAGTTATAAAGCACCGGCCAGCCTGTCTACTTCCTCTACACGTCGCTGACTATCTATTATATCGGTATGCCAACATTGCCCATATCCTCTTCAAAGATTCATCAATCAGTTTCAAGAAGGTTTGAAGTGGGACGATGGACTGTAAACAAGTAAAAAAAAAATGTCCAAATATGTTTGATCTTAGTTAATATTAAACCTGTTATTAGTTTTTAATATCTCATTCTGTATCTCAGATAGTTCTTTCCGGTCAAGAGCACCTTGAATTAGACCTCTTAGAATAGGGTTGTCACATCCGCAGCCTTCCCACGACTCACCCCTTTCTTTTCTTCTGGCTTATGTCGAAAGGGTGGGTAGCGTCGGGTCGCGGCGCGTTGACTTGAACGCGACCATTCGTCCAAAGACCCCCCCCCCCCCGGTTTGGCCGTAAGGGTGCGTTGGGAATGTAGCGTCGCGTCGCCTTAACTTGAACGCTACCTTTTGTCCAAAGCCCCCCCCCCCCCCCGGTTTGGCCGAAAGGGTTCGTTGACTAGTCTTCCACACCAGTCGTTTATAATAGAATTTACGGAATAGTAATTTAAGTCTTCTAAATTCAAATAATCAAGATAGGAACAGATTAAAAATCAAATGAAACTAGTTTTTACGTAGTCTTGCAGATCAGGCGTTTATAAGAATTAAATCAATTAATGAATTCAATAAATATTTTTAAAAGGCCAAATAAAAATAAAAATCCATTTCTTTCTATGTATAGAATTCTTTTTTGATGTAAACTAGTCATGCTTAACAGTCTTTACAAATAAAATAACAAATAAATAAATAAATAACGGAGTAGGCCTACCACCTTAATGCACCCTTTCGCGACAAGCGCGGGCGGGTGGAGGGGGTGGGGGCTTTCTGAATTCCATACATAGAAAGAAATGTATTTTATTTTTCGTTATTTTAATAAATAAACGACTGATATGCAAGACTAGGTAAACACCTTTATTAGAAATTTTAGATACCATAGCAGTCAGACCGCAGCGTGCGCGATAATGAGGCTGTACGCTGATTTTTACTCAGCATCTCTTTGGTAATCTCGTGCATTCACGTGTGCTGAAATTCACGAGATTTTCCGTGAGATTTGTAAGGGTGTACAAACAGCTGCTTTTGTGGTCGATAACTTTAGTCAACGGTAATTACTCTAGAGATCTTCAGCTTCAGTTTGATATGAAACTTGCCATATTTTACAATTTTGAAACAATCTTTTTTCACCACTTTTATGGTCGTTATTTTTGTAACATTTCAACAGCTATTTTGTACCCGGAATTTCGCTTTTGGTTCCTGACTTTGGTACATAATTAATTTGTTTACTTTGAGATTCGTTGGAAAGATGAAAAGTCACTGATCAAAATAATGTCAAAACCTAATTGACGCAAAATCATGTTTTCTTTATAATCATAATAATTAAGACCCTAAAACCCCGGAAATTACCAATTTGTTCTTTCTATGATGGCGCGAAATTGTGTGATTTCATACTCGTGCACGCTCGCCGTCTGAGCAATGACAATGTATAACTGATTATTAAACTCCAGGGAGCTCCGCCGCGCCACAAACTGGTCGAAAAAAAATAAGAAAAGTGATTAAAAAGGAAATATTGTAGAAAATAATTATCAGAAGAGCAAATTACGTATGTGATCCAGGGTCCTTCGATCGTTTGCATGACTGCTTGCGCGCACGTGCATTACAGGCGCACGCCACAAAACAAGGATACTAATAACATGTTTTCAGAATGTTAATAAACCAAAGCGGAACATATATGACGTAGTTGACGTAGTTGACCAATCAGAACGCTGTATTATCACATCGGCAAAGTTGACTACTTTTTTTAATTATTCATAAACATGAGCGTGATTTTTTTTGGTTCCTGACTTTGGTACAGCGTAAAATAAAATAATTTTGATATCATTGTAAAGAAAAATATTTATGCTTTATGCTGATTATAACATCTTCTTGACGCAAGAATGATTTCTATGTGAAAATCAGCCCTACTCTTAAGATAGATTTATCGTCGAAAAAACCCATTTTCAAGGCGAAATATCTGTTTCCAAAATATATCTAACATGATTGTCATATAAGTATATAGAGAGTGCAACTTCTTATCTTTAAAATAAGACCCATTTCATGAGAAATATACAATTATAAAGGCAAAAACTGCCGATCGGGAAGACCGTCTGCACTACTCATTACGTATGCAAGACACGTACATTCTTTCATACGTGCTGAGTAAAATAGAGGGTTTTCGCACCGGCTGCGGTCTGACTGATAGTAAAATGTTTGATTGTGTTTCTTGTTATTTATTGATTTAATTCTTATAAATGCCTGATCTGCAAGACTACGTAAAAACTAATTTGATTACATTTTTAATCTGTTTCTATTTTGATTATTTGAATTTAAACAACTTAAATTTCTATTCCTTAAATTCTATTATAAAAGACTGATGGTAAAGACTAGTCAACGCACCCTTTCGGCCAAACCGAGGGGGGGGGGGGCTTTGGACGAATGGTCGCGTTCAAGTCAACGCGACGCTACCCTACCCACCTTTTCGGCATAAGCCTTTTCTTCTTACCTTTCGGTTGTCTGTGGTAGGTGTCTCGGCAGATGTGTATAGGCTCGGTTAGGCTTGATGTTTTCGTATTCATTCTCTTCATTTTCTAGCTTGAGTTCTTCAATAATCAAACATAATCTAGAACGACTAATGGATATACTTGGTTCCAAGGCGGATTTCTTACTGTCACCAGAATCTGCTCATTGGCTTTGCCAAAAACATAGACTATCTCGTTTTTTGGTTGAGCATTTTCTTCTTTCTTTCAATATTTTTTTTTCTTTCTCAAAATGCATATATATATATATATATATATATATAATCTAGATATATCAGTGTAAAAGACATTAATGATTGGTATTTTATACAATGGAACATTAACGTTAGCAAGTGAAGTAGTAATTCTTATCAATAACAAGAAAGGGGAACGATATAACATTAAATTTCATAAAGCTTTCTGTTTTTATGAGTGTCATAACCATTGTTCCAAACATGATTTCAACGAGAAGTGTAATATACCCTTATTTGATTGTAATTTGTATACGTTTGATATGCTATTTATTTATCTATTTTTCTGCTTACTTCCTTATTTATATATTTGTGTACTCATTTAATTATTAAACATTTATTTTTGTGTGCTTCTTTTCAGGAATTCACAAGAAACCTGAGTTTGTGAAGATGAATCCTCTCTGCACAGTACCGGCCATCCAAGATGGAGACTTTGGAATGGGGGAAACGTAAGCTATTTTATTTCACTTTTGTGTGTTCCAGATATCGTTAACTTGTTCTGTCCCCCCCCCCCCTCCCCCCCATTTCTTTTCAACCTTGGATATATATATATATATTTTTGTTAATGCTAAATGAGAACGTTGATATAATGTTTATACAAAAAAGCTGCCCTACAACAACAAAAAACTTCAAGCTAATATAGTTATCAATGTGTTGCATTTGTGTTCACATTTAAAACAAAAATATTTCCACTTAAAGGTACTATGTCCCATTTGCAGGCCAAAAAAATGAAAAAGTTAAATTCCAACTGCATTTGAAAGATAATACTAATTTAGAACTTCCCTAAAAAAGGTGGGGCTTGAAAATGTCTTCAAGTGGGAAAATAAGGACTATTAGTTGTCAAATCGACTTTAGGGCTATAGAGCCCAAAAGTAATAGTCTTGATTTTCAGACAATTGTACCGAATGGTCATACGTTTTATGCTGCGCAAAGATTCAATCAGTTTAATCTTGGCCATCACAAGAAGTGAGTTATTGATGTAGACAAATGCTCATGTACCCTTTACAACTCTTTCCATGTATGTTATTACCAAAGAAGAAAATGCCAGTCAGTCACTCAATAGTGTCTGACAGTGAAGTCTAGCAAGTAAACGGGTTTCCTTGCATAATTTGAATATGAGGACACTGCTAACGTTTAAATTTCACAGATAGGACATACATGATGACATATTCATAATTCCTGCAAAGTTCTACAGCACTTGAGGTTGGCTGCAAAAGGGACATAGTACCTTTAAAGGGCAAGTCCACTCCAAAATTAAATTACTCTCAATAGAAGCAGGAAAACTAGACAAACCAATCTAAAAAAGTTTGAGCAAAATCGGATGACTAATACGAAAGTTATGAATCTGTTATGACATGAAAAACTTTGAAAATCACAAGACAAATTGACAACTAACTCATGAGTCTGTGACGTCATTTCCTCACTATCCACTTATTGTTTTCTTTAGATCGATAATATAAATTTCCCATTTCCCCCCTAAGAATCTTATTTCCTCACTCCAGCATCCAAGTTATATTGATAGTAATATTTTTTTGTGTGGATGCACTAATATATTAAGTAATTTTGTTGAGTTAAATCATGAAAAATGTGAAGTTTTATAAACTATTTTTATAAAAATCAATGATTATGAATATATAATATTCAGAAAATAGTACAAATTCTTCAAAGTTCATAAAAGATTTTTATGAAATGGCATTCACGCAATATGATACAAATCAATCAACCTCGGCAAAGGTATGGGGAAATCAATATTTTGGGGGATAAAAGGGAAAATTAATTGGATAAAATATATAAAGCAATTGAAAAATAGTGGGGGAATGACGTCACAAACTGATGACCAAATTGGAAATTTGTGTAGTGAATTTCATTGTTCCATAGTTTTTCACACCTTTTCAAAAAATCATCACTTCCTTATTAGTTAACCGATTTTTACTCAAATTTGTTTTGCTCTGTTTCTCTTGTTTCTCTTCTCTATTAAAAGCAGATTATTTTGGGAGTGGACTGAGCCTTATAGCCTCTAATACATTTTGGGAGACTTGCTTTGAGTACGATCAGTACTATCCCGCGGGATACCTTTTAAATATCAACATCTATTTATACAATCTATACTACTAAATTTTCTTGTAATAATAATACAGCGTGGCGATTATTCGGTACTTGGCAACGAAGTATGCAGACCTAGTCCCAGACCACTGGTACCCAAAGGACCTGGAGAAAAGAGCCAGAGTTGATGAATACATGGCCTTTCATCATACAGGAACAAGAGGAGGATGCGGTGGGATCTTCTTCAGTGAGGTGAGTTAGAAATGCAAGCTTTGATTTTTTAGTTGACTCAATTTCCTTTACAATTTAACCTAATTTATTATGATAATATTATGTTTATATATTTTATATCCTTAATTTTTTGTTTTATCACTTATCGACATTTAATATTGTTTAATAACAAATATTTTTTTATTTTCTATTACATATTGCAAATGATATTAATTTTGTGTAAGCATTTTTTCAAATTGAGTTATGGAAATATTTTTTTTAATTGAATTGAATTTAAAAGGTGTGCTAATTGTTTTTCATATCGTACCACGTAAACTTTCAAAAATTATATAAAAGTTCCCATACATGCGTAGCGCCCATTTCTGCTCAAAAACAGTGCGATTCTAGTATCAAAAGAAAACATGCAACAAATACAAATTTTCATTTCTATTTAAAAGCGATACGTCTTCGTGCGAAAAACGTTTACAAAATAGGACAATTCTTATTCTAGTAATTTTAGGCAATTCAATTTCAAACTGAAACGGCCGCCTTTCCTCGTGAAAATTACTTGGCTTGGCTTTTGACGAAATTGTTGGCACATTTACTCTTTAGAATTACTTTGTAATGATCAAATAAGAGAAATATATTAGTATATTTGTAAAGCGCTTAAGCATTTGTATTAAGCGCTATATAACAATTAAATATTATTATTATTATTTATATGAAAGAAGAAAAAGAAATTAAAATTCTTTTCAAACCTTAGGTACGCAGTCAAAGGCTATGGCTTACCATGTTACAGGAGTATTATCTCCCAATGTTACATACAATAAAAACATTTTACATTTCGACTTCATTCACCCGAACAACACAGGTAATGTAAAGTATGTAAGAATTAAATCCACATAATAACCGTCCACTCCCCCCCCCCCCGCACACACACACACACACACGCATATATATATATATATATATATATATATATATATATATTTATACATGTATGTATAAATATACAAACATGCTTTACCTTTACGTTTTACTTTTGTTTTGAATAACATGAACAATTATTATTTCGCCTTTTTATATCAATTTATTTCCTTGTAGATCGCCATGCCCTTCCTTTCTGGAGGTAAACAGCATGCTTCAGAGGAAAGGTTGAAGACAGACACAGAGAACCTAACCAAACAACTAGACAAGCTGGAGAATGCTTTCTTGCAGGATAATGATTGGTTGGCTGGAGATGATATCTCTGTTGCTGACGTGCTCGCTGTTTCCGAGGTAAGAAAAATGTCTGACTTGACGTAGAATACAAACCACCAAACAAACAAATTAAATAAACAGACATATAAACAAACGAAAAAATGAATAAGTAAATATACGCGGTGATTAGTTCCTTCAAATCCGGGAGGATAGGCCCATAGGATGAAGTTAATGCATGTCCGTTTTGTGATGATGAATTTCATAAATTTAGGCCTGGCAAAATGAATCACTTACAGAAATCCGTTAAGTAGTTCTGACAGCTCTATCAGATATAAAGATAAAGAAACGAACATTGGAATAAAAATGAAGGATATGATACTTTTTTTCTCGTGATTAACAATCTTTTTGTACAATTTTCTATGGCGTAAACTTAATTCTTTTTATAATTCTGTGTAGGTAATTGACCGCCCGTGTATAGCCGCAATAATTGAAAGAAACAGAGTCAGAATCGATTGAGAAATAAGAGAAGAAAAGCATAACATTATTACACATGCACAGGCACACCGTCAGACACACACACTTAATACGCATCCACCAACTTGCGCGCGCACAAGAAGTCCATTTTTATAGTCCCCATTCTAAACTTTTTAGGCTGAGACAAATTTCCTCATCGAACAATGTACGATCAATACTTTGAAACTCTTTTTTCCTATGAATAGGTTTCCAGCAGATACAAAAATTATTTTAAAAAAGTTAAGTCATAGTTCAAATACTGTTAATTTTCAAGGGCCTATATTCCATGGTCATTTTGACGATAGATCTGAGTATCTAAGAAAAAGCCACACTTTAGAACAAACTTTCTAATATTAAACAATTAATCACTACCTTTTGCTGTTAAATTAAACATGTAATATAAATGTGTCTTGGTTCTGTCGGAAATACATTTTTTCTAGTGCCATCTTTGTTTCACGATTAACTATATTCTTTTGTCATGTGTAAATTTGCAATATTTGTTTGTTATATATTTGTAAAAATGCAAAAGAAAAAGAAAATCAAACAGAAATAAATAAATCAAATCAAATCAAATCAAACAGAAATAAATAAATCAAATCAAATCAAATCAAACTGAGCAGTTTCAAACAAAAACCTCTATTTTAGATGCCCAGATATACCTACTTTTCAATCTATGAAATGATGAGGAACATATAAACCCAAAGGAGTATAAAGAGGTTTGTGGTGGATACGGGGGTTCCCGCCCACCCGTTTGCTTCTTGGATTTTTTTTCGTTTTACCCTGGCCAAAACGACACTCAAAAGAGTTAATGAACTTGTTTTTTCTCTGCTTGTCACGGAATTTGCGGACTTTTTGCCTCCCTCTCCCCCACCCCACCCCTCGCCAGAGAATCCAGAATATGTCACTTTTACCGGACAGATTTGATGTTTTTCGTGTCAAAAAACAATATGTGTACGTTATGTATGTAATCTTTGATTGTGTATTTATTTAGAAAATGTCATGGCTAAATCGGATTTCTTTTTTTGTTACGGAGAAATATTGTTTCTTTTTTGTTTTCTCGGATTTAAAAAAATTAACTACTATGAATATAATTACGAATATTTCTCTTTTTGATATTTCACTGATCAGATGATGCAGAATACTATAAATGGACGTGATGTAACAGAGGGTCGACCTAAACTCAAGGCCTTCGTAGATCGTGTGACAAATCGCCTTAATCCTATTTTTGATGAAGTCCACGCAGTCTTGTTCGAATTTAGGGCTAACTACAAAAAATAGATTTCTCAGCTAGTCAGCCACAATGTCGAAAACCGCTAATACTTCGAAAACAGCGAAATACAGTGTCATTGATCAGGTTCTTAAGAAGCAGTGTATACAGTGCCCTCATTTTCCAAAGAAGTATCTATGAAAATACATGCGAAAAATAACTAGGCTACTGATCATATATACTTTTTTGAAAACTGATGCTCTTCACGGTTTCATTCTAATGTTTGCCAATTGAAAAGTTTTGAATAGAATTATCATTTAATTATTTCGAAGATAATTTACCAACAGCATTTGTTTAAAAAAATAATGTATGGATCCGTAGATGTTTTACTATGCAAAGTTTCCCCAGGCATTTTGTACACACTACCTCGACGAGGGCTCTACATTCACTGTGTGCTTTTCGCTGCTTTCGAAGCATTTGCCGCTAAGCATGGATTTTTCAAAAATTGTTCAAAAAATCTTTGAACTCATATCAATTTGCTGTAAAAATAAAAGATGTAAAAATTTTATATAATTATTATTTTTTCTTTTCTTTTTCTTACACTCAATTGATAATGTTGCCTATCATATCTCGGCACATTTTTCTTTTAACACAAACAAACTACTGATGATTAAAGAAAGCAAATGAAACAAGACAGCAACAGAAGTTGCAAAGTCCTCTTTACTTTAAAAACTTTGCGTCATCATCGAGACACCTTTATTTAATTTCGACAAAAGTTTTCTTGTTCTTTAAAGATACACAAATTAATAGTTTCATACTTTTATACTCATTATGTTTTCACCTTTTAAGGAGAAATAAACATTTCAATATAAGGACTGTTGAGTGGGAGAAAGTATTTCAGAATCTCAAGATTAAATATGTACCAGTTTTAGATATTGGATTCACAATTTTTGAATGAAACAAGTCTGCATACAATCAGCCACAACTTCTGAAACCCCTTAAGAGGCAGAATAGTATTAGTTAGTAAGGAGTTTTCGGGAGTTGTGTCTTACAGGCAGGCTAGTTTAGGGGGCTGTCCATCACATATTTACAAAATTAATATATTTCATTGAGAGAAAGCTAGTATTGCATTCAAAAATCATTATGAAATATCGCTCTTGCAAGAGTGTTAAGTGACTGTTTATGTAACGATGGAAGCAAAAAGTATGTGAATTTTGAAAAAAAATTGAAAGGGAGAATAATAAACTATGTTCACTACCAATGGCATGGGTAAGGAGAATTATTTATTTGTCTAATATGTTGTCGTGTGAATGATCGAAATACATACTCAAACGAAATACAAGACACACATAGTGTCTGCTCATTACACTTATATACCATATTGTTGAGTAGGGAAATAATGAATATCAGTATATCACAGCCAATGCCAGACGAAAATCAGTTGTGTAACATGTCAATGCGAAGGATGACAAAAATATGTATGTGCCTAAAAGTTTGCTATCATTATTCAATTTTATCTTACTTAAATTTCAGCATTGAAATCAAATTGTTTGTCAATTCACCTATTTGTTTATTCTAAATGTATTTGGCTCTCTCTTGAAATGAAAATAATATTTTTTATCGAATGTTAAATGTTTAGGATTCCCCGCCTTAAATTCGTTTTGTGTTTCATGTGATATTTTCAAGAGCGATTCGATGACTTCTGTCTTTTATCTTTCTTTTGTAAATTGACAAATATAAAGGGCAACTGACCTTTGCCCCTTACACATCTCCTACCGTTTTAGTTACCTCCAATATTGTGGTTTTGTATGTTTAACCATTCACATTTTAAAGAGTGAAATTTACATTATCTATGTGCACAATTCTCTGCACAGTGAGAAGAAAAGTAATAAAGAAATGAATCAGAGTGTTGTAGAAGGTGAATTGGGAAACAAAATGCCTTGAGATGCACTGTTAATATGAAGGGCTATCAAGAGGAAAAAGTAAGAACTGGGATGGTGTTTGACTTGCAAGATGACGAATCATGTCATTGATAAAATAGGAATCAAGGTTTAGAGGGATAAAGAAATGACTCATTTTGTACCGACCGCATCAAGTACTTCATTTGAATGCACAATTCAAATAAATTCACGACCTCCAACTTCTTGACTGATCGTGAGTCCGCATAAAAGTTGGAAGAGTCAAAGTTAGCTCATAGTAAATAAGATTCTCAAGTTTGTCAATATTTAATATTAGTGGTCTATTGTACCGTCGGAACCTGACCTTCGATCATATCTAACATATCAAAATAGAACTTAGGTATACGAAAGGGGCGAACGGCCAGTCTAGGGGCATACTTCGTTACCCCCTTTTTTCAACGTCAAAGGTTACCATATTTGTATTGTAACCACTGATAGAATACCACATTTTACAATGAAATCTTTCACTAATTCCCAATATAACAATAAATGTATTGAAGAAAAAATACATACAAGATGTATTACTCAACTAGTCCAACCCCTCCCCTTTAACGTCGAAACATCGTCATACCTACCACATGATCATGTCGTAGTTGACCATCCTATGCCCGCTTTGGACGGTCATCTTGCGTCGGATTTGAATAGTGGTCTTTGTTCGGTTGATCTCCATCGTTGAAGGACACTCCCAAGATCTCCTCTCTTTCCTGTTAATAAGGAATCTATCATGGTTGTCAAGGTTTACGTGGACATGCTTTCCCAGCCTTGTCGGGCTCTCATTCTCTTTCTCAAGAACACCAAGATTCCGTTTGAAGTAGTAACAATTAGCCTACGAAATGGTAAGTTGGGCTTATAATTGAAATATTATTATCCTTTTCTCCTTTCTTGTAAGGCGAATTTGGGTACTGTCGGCGAAAACCAGTTTTTTCTTCCCTCATTCTAATTCTTTAGTAACGTAATCATTTTCTTTCGATAGAACAGCTTAGATAAAACCAATTTGTGCGTCTGACCACTTGTATTGTCCGTTAGTGCATATAAAGAACTATTTGAAATTTATTACAAAAAACAAAAAGAGTAGTTTTGTATCAAATGGATGTGGCATTTAGATTTGAAAATTATAAAAAATAGTATCAAACGTTTTGTTCTTATTATCTCCCAGGTTAAGTTATTTGTGAATTATAGGTTCAATTAAAGGGTACCTATTTCGTCCAACTTTCAATAACTTCGGAGGACCCCAGGGTCTGGGACGCATCAGCCCTACGATTTTCAAAGGAGTTTTCCTCCTTGTAAAATCTGAGAAGAAAAATTAATTTAACAATAGGAGAGAGTGGTGTTTGTATTCCAAAATTAAACAAAACAAAAATCAAATTATTTTTCTTACAAAATTATTCTTAATTTGCTATGCATATACGCACAGTGTCCCCCTCCTCCCCCCATCCTTTTGCTGAGTTGAGCCCCCCCCCCCCTCCACCCCCTCCGTCATGGCAGGATATCATTGCCCTTAGAATACACATGTATCTGTTTTTGCAACGTGTAAGCTACATTTTTCAGTAGGTTAAACACTATATCACTTTAGTTCAAATTTCATATATAAATTTAACCATGCTAAAACTGTTTCATATGTAAACTGGATGCAATATAATGCTGGTGATTATTGCACATCAATGTACTCGATGTAATGTTTTAAACTCTGTTCATGAAAGTCGAGGAAATTGAAGACTTACACTGAGAATTTAACTTTATCATTATTCGCATGAACGAAGAATATTCAAATCTGTATAATCATTCATATAATAAATCCTAAGTCGAATAAAAAGTTGCCTATCTCCAAGTGCCTCAACCAATGTCAATATCACGCAATCCTTTTTGTGAATGTCAACACTCTTTACTATCAATATTTGAAGTGGTACAATAGTTGGAATGCAAGTTAGATATCTTTTACAAAATCAAATATTGATTTTATTATATTTCTGTTTATTCTCTGGGGGTTCCTTGATCAAAAAAGAAGTTGCCAAGTTAACAGTGAAAAATATGATACAGCCACAGATTATAATTTTTAAGAACATCATGATTTCATTTACTCTTTCACAAGAAATAATTTAGTTTCGAATCTTGTTCCTTTTTCTCTCTCTCTGTTTATTTCTTTCTTTCTTAGTGTCTTTCTTTCCTCTGTCATTTATTCTTCCTTTTGCCTCTTTATTTTATTGATTATTGTAAGAGAATCCTTTCGCCATAGATTGATGTTTAAGTGCAAAAAGGAACTCAGTCACATTTGTTCTCTCCTAAAAACGAGGTACAGCTAAAAAGACATTTAACATTTGAGCAAATATGTGGCCAAATAATATTCGTTTTTTTTTTTTTTGTTACGACAACTGCTGGTTGATGAACTTATGATGTATTATCAAACTCTAAGAAAATCCTTTACAGTAACTGTTGTGACGCTATTTTTTATCAAAATTGTATTCATAATATTGACGCTTCCCCCACCTCCTTCACAGTCACTTTATACGCTAGACAGTTTTCTCTCATGATTGCGTCATTACGCTTCCGTTGAACAATATGAATCATCGGTCATGTATCATATTGATATTTGCTTAATAGTTGTATCGATATTTTTTCGTTTTAGGTGACCAGAAGAAAGCCGAGTTTACAAAAGTGACCCCTCTGAATACTGTCCCCGCTATACAGGATGGTGACTTCTGCTTGGGAGAAACGTGAGAAATCCCTTCCTACATAACTGTCCCCTAAATTACCACCCCCGATAAATACACCCCGAGAACATCTGCCTTCTGATCAACTGTTACATTTAACATTTACCTTTCCCATGTAGACTCCCTCCCAAGTCATCGACATTCATTGGTATTTTAGATTACAGTCCTCGGGTTAGTTGTCCGGCGTAAAAATACAAATAATGATTGATCTCGGTATAAATACCTAATTATATATATTTTTTAAAGATGTCTAAGCACTATTCCTAATGGGTTTTAATTTACTAAAAAAAGTGTGGAACAGATGTCGTTTTAGTTTATTAGCAACACTTTAGACAGAATGTATTGTTATGTACGTTGGCAATTCCGTACCCAGGAAGAAAATAGGGACCTGCTCGAAAGCTGACAGCTTATATGACTGAATGTTGCACTCTCCCTAAATACCCAACATTCCCGTCCGCCTCGATTATCAGTAGCACTCATATGTATACCAAACTACATTACTTTTTGGATGCAGGGTAGCGATTATTCGGTACTTGGCAACTAAGTATTCAGACCTAGTCCCAGACCACTGGTACCCGAAGGACCTAAAGAAAAGAGCCAGAGTTGATGAATACATGGCATTTCACCATACAGGAACCAGAGGAGGTTGTTGCGGGGTCTTCGTAAATGAGGTGAGGTTGTAATCTGAATTACACTGAATAATATAAGTTCTACTTTCTAATGAATATCACATATTCAATAATATATTTAAAACATTTCCAGAGCTTCAAGAGCTATAAATTGTCATCGGGTTTTATTAATTATAATCGACATCAGACGTAAATGAATTTAGATTTGTCGCAATTTTAGACTCTTGAATTCTGTCCTGCGCATTATTGAAAAGAAGCTAGATAAATATCTTTTTTTTTTCTTAGCGTATTCACTCATTTCAGACCTATTCTTACAACAGGATTTATTCTGGGGAGTGATCGAATCTAATGCAACATTTATTGATACATAATATGGTTGCCTAATGTAATGATTTTTGGTAGGTTGCATTGAAATCGATACTGACAAATTGGTAATTTGTTTCTATTATATTCTTCCAGGTCATATTTCCAATTTTTAACGGGGGTAAACAGGTGCCAGAAGAAAAAGCGAAGAAAGACCTGGAAAACATGAAAACCCAGCTCGACAAACTAGACAGAGCGTTTTTGAAGAACAATAATTGGTTAGCTGGAGATGACATCTCTGTTGCTGACATCTTGGCCGTTTCGGAGGTGAGCAAATTCTTTTTTCTTTTTCCCCTCTTTTTTTTCTTCTTCTTCTGCTACTTCTCTTTCTTCTTCTCCTCCTTCTCCATCTCCTTCTTCCTCTTCGTCTTCTTCTTCTTCTCCTCCTTTTTTCACCTTACTTTCGATCTACGACAGTTTCATCATTCCCCTATTGGCTTTAGGACCTGAAGACAGAAGTCTAAAATGTTTTCTTCCTCTCCCTCGCACAGATGATGCAGAACACCGTTAAAGATCGAGATGTAACGGAAGGACGCCCCCAACTGAAGGCCTTTGTTAACCGTGTGAAGAAGCGCTTGAACCCTGTCTTTGATGAGGTCTTTGCAGCCTTGTACGGATGGAGAGAAAGCTTCAAGAAGTAGAATCACGCATGAACAGTACACTTAAATCACATCAGAAAAAATTTGGACCCATCGTGTCAGGACCGATTCTTCTTTAATTGTTGTATTGTAGTATATCGACATCAAATTCGCGCTATCTGTATTAAAAAAAAAATCTTTGTAGATGATTCGTTATGTGGTAGCCCGACATATCACTAGCACTTCACTTGCATGTCTTGTGTGGTCACGACCACGCATACTCCCATACGTCGGAAATCTTAGACTACAGATGGTTATTGTTATTTTTATTTGTATCATTATTATTATTAGTAGTAGTAGTAGTATAATTATAATTATTTACAAAATTGTTATTGGTATTATTGTTATTGCTAATTTGCTATCAACATCATCATATGTTATGTCATCATTATTGTTACGATTATTATTATTGTTGTTATTATCATCATTATTATTTTCATTATTGTTGATTTTGTTATTATTATCATTATTATTATAATCATCATTATTATTAATAATGTTATTTGATACCTAATATGTGAATTAAACCATCACAGATCAGGGGAAATACTAACATCGTCACAATAGTGGAATACCACAACCGAACCAAACAGGCTATACAGAAAGCACAAACATTACAATATTCCACACGTTATTTTTATATCTATTGAAAATGAGAGTGTTATAAAATAATTGTACACTGCTTTCGGATATACAGGTACAGACGGCATTTTGTATATTTATAGTTACTGCAATTTGAAGAAAAAAATAAGAAGTGTATCAAAAGGGAAACTGTGCCGAAGAAAACGTTCACATTTTTTTGAATTGGTGTACACTAATTTTAGTAACAGATGGAAATATTAAAGATTTAACGATCAATTGCCGGTTTTGATGTTCTCTATTCTTTAGATCTTCGAGTGAATACATTATAATAGACAGCAAAACATGTAGTACCCTTTGTTTCTAGAGGAAAATAAACGAAAGGAAAAAAAACTTAGGTAGCCATATCCCGATAAGGTCACATCCTTATGATTATCGATTAAGTTATATTTGTTTTTAATTATTTATTTTTACAAAGCGGTCTGTATTTTAACAAGAGATATATATATATATATATATGCGTGTGTAAACAATTAATTGTAACGTATACATGTATATATCAAGCGTTCGCTTGGACACAGCTGAGTCATGCGTCCTGTCACTGTTCGTAATCACCTGTCCCCGACAAAGGAATTAATTAATAAAGGTTGAAAAATCGTCAATCTATGATTATCGATTAAGTTATATTTGTCTTTAATTATTTATTTGTACAAGGCGGTCTGTATTTTAACAAGAGATATATATATATACATATACATATATATATGCGTGTGTAAACAATTAATTGTAACTTATACATGTATATATCAAGCATTCGCTTGGACACAGCTGAGTCATGCGTCATGTCACTGTTCCTAATCACCTGTCCCCGACAAAGGAATTCATTAATAAAGGTTGAAAAATCGTCAATCTGTCCCTCAATTGAATCTGATGTCGCTGAAGCCACTGACCCGTCTCCATGGTCTATATATAGTGGTTAATAAGGCATTTACATAAGGCAAAGGGAATACAGCAATAACAACACACGAAACGACATTAATTTCGGTCATACACTTTAATAGCCTGTATTTATGAATATGTATATATGGGGCCAATCACCACGAAATGAGTCCAGTGTCGCATTAGGCTCAATCGTAGTAATAGCGATGTATAGTGTGTATGTACTGAAAATTGACCCACCTACCACATTTAAGATTTTTCCAAAAATCGACTTATTAATGTCTTGTAGTTTATGTCCCCAGAGCTTAGGTCACGAAAATATCTCCTTCTAACATGTTTTGGCAAATAATATAGGCTATGTTACGCATCATTAACTTTACACCTTTTTATCTCAAAACTGGGTAATCCCATTGTTTATAAAGTCCAATTAGGTTTTTGTTCATATTTCTGGATATAATTTATCAATTTTAATGTGTGACCCCTTAATTTAAAGCTTACTTAATGTAGATTCATATAATACTGAAAAACAGGAAATTTTTTTTTGACCAACTGGACTCATTTCGTGGTGACAGGCCCCATATATTTATATATATATATATATATATATATATGATCTCGATCGCCGTAAGGTGAAAAATGCAGAGAGGGATAGGCGTGTCTCATATTCACGTAGGACAATATACCAAGTCCTTCTACGTCGATAGACCAGTTCACGGTTAGCACATGTCCCAAATGACCCTGGATATCCACAGATCTTCAAAACAGAAAGAGGTCCCATTTGTACATTTTGAAATGTTCACTCCTACAGCGATGCCGGTGCTACATAAATAGCCTTTGTTTCGCTTTTCAAAGAATGCTTCCACCTGCATAGAAGTGCACTGCTTGTTCATAAATGAACAATGATTACGTAACGTTCATAAGCACGTATCCAGTATTTTGTCTCCGTGTACTAGTATTTCATAATTTGGTCTGCAATGAACTGTATCTGTTCATGCTCAGACTGTAACGATAAAATGGCTTATCACGTAATAAATTTGATCAATATAATAATATGTTTCGACGTCATTAAATGTAATTGAATAAACTTCATTATTTTCTTCGTTTTTTAATAAATATTATTGATATGTATACAAACACACCGTGACACGCACACACACCATAATATATGTATTTATGATTATATCGCGATGAAAATGTGACGATATAAGGGTTGATCCATGCAGTTTAATTTCCACCATTTCAGCGATATCAATTCTCGCTCTAACATTCAAGAACATGGTAAATGAAAGGAGAGAAGGTACATGTATATATATATCGTTGTGTATACCTGCATACATAAAAGAGAAACAGCGTCCCTCCCTTCGGCATTGTGCCCACTTGTACGCTTTTATTGCGTAATCGTCCCATTGTCAAAATGTATGGAGCTCGCACAAACACTCTGCTCTCACCGTCAACATAAAGATCGACTGCCGTGTCATTGTATCTGTCAGCAGTCGACAGGTAAGGAACGAAACCACACCTTCCGAGTAAGAACCAGGGCAAAATCAGAGAATTTAAAGCCACCATGACCATCGAGCTGTACGTTGATCTGAGATCCCAGCCATGCCGTGCTGTGGCCATCTTTCTGAACCTGATGGGTATTCCACATGAGCTTAAATACATCGACATCTTTGCAGGTATGCTCTTATCTTTGTGATAGGTCGTGCGTAGCTATGAATACCCATTTAACCCTTAAAAGGCCGGTCTATTTGAGGTCTTAGTACGGCCGGGGTGGCATTATGCCCCCCCCCCCCCCTTAAGATCTCGGTCGTGAAAATGCCGGTCTCCGCGAAAATGTGCATGCATGTCAAGTGAAGTGTATAGAATACTATGATAAACAATTTCAATATTTTGAAAAATTCACTCATTTGCATATTTATGGTAATTTATGCAAATAAGGTCATACAAACTTTTTTACCCATAAATCATATATTATTCATTTTTAAGCATTCTTTTTCACTATATATATATTCATTAGATCATTTGGAATATTAATACGACACTAAATTTTGGAAGAGCCAGCTTATTCCTCATGTTACCTCTTGTTTTGATAATTTCTAATGTATTTCATTGTAATTATGTTATTTTTTAATGTGCTGTTTTTATAATCAGGGCTCTGTGGAAGACCAGGTTTTTATTTTTGTATACTGAACAGACTACCCTGAATAAAGAAGTGAAATAAATAAAAAAATAAAAAAAAATTGTTTTTGTAACTTATGTATTTTATTGTTTTTGTTGTTTAATTTAATTTCTAACTACATATCAACTATTTTGACTCCCAAAACAACCACCTAAACTTTAAACAAGACTCAATAACCAATGTTTGATCTATTTTTAGGAAAAATTACTTTTTCATATGTTTTGTACACAAATCACGAAAAAGAGCGATTTTCGGGCAGACATGCAAAGACAAAAGGTCACGTGACCTTGTAACTGTAGGTCCTATTTTCAAAACAGTCTTTTAAAAGATGCGCAAGACTCGAAAGAAAAAAAGTCAGCGAGCGGCGGGGCGCCATCCATATGCGTTCCCGAACAATTAGAAAAATCATGGTGCCCCCCCCCCCCCCCGGCCTTATTAGGGTTAAAGAGCAACATGTAATCCCCAGCGATCTCAGTCAAATGTGGGTATCGTGCAAAATGCCAACTCATCGTTTCAGCAATTAAATGCGTTAGCAACGACCCCCTTCCCCTACAGTAGTCCGCAAACAATAGGATACAAGATTTAGATGGTCGATCAAACTGTGTACAGTATTGGCAAAACTATTGATATTGTTATGCAATGTGAACGCGGACGGAATTGCTTAGTCATGCAATCATGGCAGAGTCCAGTTTCGAGCACCGGGAATCATTGAGAGTTCAATAGGCATATACGGCATGATTCAATATGAACACAGCATTGCCTCTCATATCATTGGAAAAATGTTCATGTTTTTCAACTAAACCAACGTATTTAAAATTTTAATAAAATTAAGGCTCTGTTTGTTTTTTGCTTACTTTAAAAAAATTAGGAAACGAAAAGAAAAAGCCCGTGGATACACCATCCAGATGATTCTTCTTTTTTTTTTATCTTGTCTCGTCTTTTTTTTTATTACGGGGGAATAGCACGACCCTAAGTGTTAATCGATTTTGATGAGGAGACGTCCTTATCGGGATATTGGGGCTCAATTTTGTTTTCCACTCCTTTCCTTCATGATGTTTGCCGATCACTTACATGCCCAAGTCACACCGCAAACTTGGTCCGGGATTGTAATGTACCGACAGTGAAGAAAATCATGACCAGTATATTTAGAGTTTATGTAATTTTCATTTTGTCTATTATCATTCGGTCGGTTTTACCTCCGGTATCGGTATGTTAGATGTTACTAAGGTGGATTACTTTGGTCATCACTATACTCTCTTTTGTTCTTTTCTTTCTAAACATCAATGAATAAAATCAATAACAAAGTGAAGATAAATACTGCCGAAAATATATTCGAGACAACACGCAAAAACAGTACACAAGTGCATTCCTCCTATTTTTCAGAGCTGGATGGTCCGATGTCAAGAATTTGAGAACAGTTTAATACAAAATGAATCGGTCTAAGTTTAGAACAACTAACTAACAAGCAATATAACCATCTCGTTTCGTGTAAGCTCTTTCTCAAACACTATCACTGTGCATAACTGCCTATTGTGATTCTTGTATAAGTTCCTTTGCATACAATTTTTGAGACGGGTGGATGGATACTCATCCTGGAATGGGTGAAGCTGGGAGTGCTTTCAGATGTTATTCATTTCACAACTAGTGAACCTAACATTCTGTCCAGACAAACTTTGATTTTTGGTGATATTTTTGTTTGTATCGTTGACTTTATTATAGATGTTATGATTATTATTATAATAATTGGTAGTAGCAGGAGTGGAAGTAGTATTTTTGTATTGTTATTGTTGTTATTATTTTCATTATCATTGTTGTCGTTATTATTGTTATTATCGTTGTTGCAGTTATCATTATTAATGTTGTCGTTGGGTTTTTTCCCTTCTTCTTATCATCATCACTATCTTCAGCATCATGATTTATTTATTTTTAGTCACCTTTTGCGTCGGGTAGACTTTTGTTTTTATTGAGACACCCTGTGGTGCCTATATGTAATGGCTCAGTCCAAATTTGGCTTTTAGAAAAAGGAAAATATAATCTGGCACAGGCGTACCCCCCCCCCCCCCCCTCCCTCCCCCTCTCCCCACCCTCTTGATTGAATAAGCCTACAGTTCAGAATAATAGATCGTAAATCCCTTTCCTGTCTTTGACTGTCGATTTGGGTAACAAAAGTGATCTCAATGCCAAGGAGAAATACATTTACATATTTTAGCGCGAGCACAAGTTAACTCTCCAAACAGTTCCAGGGCTAAATCAATAAGTTCAAGTTTAAGTTCTAGTTTATTTGTCTTTCTTCCAACATGAATGCAATACTATTTAGCAATTGTATAACATGTAGAGTATATAAAAGGAACACTTATAAGGAACAAGTTCATATAATGCATTTAAGTGAAGAAGAAAAAAAGAAAGACGAGGAGACATCAAGAAAACTTAGCTTGTAGAGGTCAGGTCCCTCAAAACAATATCATATATAGACCAACAAAAAAACCTGGTTATATAATAGATAAATTCACGAAATGTTCGGCAAAGGCTCTTAAGTACTAAAACAAATTACTATAAAGTATAACCATACGATTATAATAAGGTTCTACTGTGTAATTAAAAAAAAGTGGGGAGAAGAGACTATGTACAAAAGGGGCGATAAGAATGATAATAACGTGGGATATAGAAATGAAGCGAGGAGAGGAGAGGGAGAGAGAGAGAGAGAGAGCTCTAAAGGGGGGGGGGGGGAGAAAGACAAATGGACATATTTTCACTGTAAGCTGAAATCTAGCTACAAGCGAGAGAAGGAAAGAAAAAGGAAAAGGTAAATCGGTTGTTGCTATACAGTAGTAAATACAGTTCAGTCTACGTTTAAATACAGATATACTGACAATGGATTATGGATTATAGGTCGTTAATCCCCTAATGTGCCGTTACGAATCCATTTGGGTAAGGAAGTGATGTGAATCGCAAGGATTTAAAAATAATCATTTAGATGTAAACGTGTCTGTTTTATTTTTAAGGCGAGCACAAGAAGCCAGAGTTCGCGGACAACTTCCCACTCGAAACACTTCCAGGACTGAAAGATGGCGATTTCTACCTCGGTGAAATGTAAGAATTGTTTCTTATTTGATTTTCCCTGCCATGAGTGTGCATCCTACGAGACAATACCTTTATTCAAAAGGTCTGTGGGTGTCAAAAGTATTTATTGTATCATGGAAATTGGATGAATAGTGCTAAATTACAAGCGCTATAGGCCTAGGATGATAATAATTTCAAATTTCTTATCTAATATATCTCTTTCACCTAGCACCGGGAGTAATAGTAGAAGTAATAAAAGGGAAAATCCTTCCTAGTAGTAGTAGTAGTAGTAGTAATAGTAGAACAGAATGTTTTTCAAAAAGTATTGCCAACGTCCTCTTGTATAAAGTTTAGGCTGAAGCATGAACGTGGGTCAAAGGTCATTGTTTGTGTGTTATCTTATTTAAATGACAATTGCTTATATATTTACGTTCACTATAAGGAAGTTGAAAAAAGGGTGAAAATATCAACTCAAACCGGCTTGATAATAGGAATAGCATCGGGCTTGATCTGATCCGCCTTCTACAGCAAAACCCAAACTGTGAATGCAGCCATTTCTCAAATGCATTCTCAGGGGAACGGTCGCTGCAGATGACCGCCGATACTTACAAATCAAATACCCTTAACGGAATTGTATGATCGTTTGGTGGTTATCTCCCCTATATTCACACCGACTACACGTTCGCACAGTCGTCATAGTCCTTTCTCTGTATCATATTTTGCCTTTTCTTTCACAGATTTTTTATATTTCGTTCTTTGTTTCGTGTTTTTACTATTTGTTCGCATAGTTGCTATATTTCGTTCTTTAATTGTTTTGGCAATTCCTTTCGCAAAGTGGCTGTATTCCATTTTATAATCGTTATGGTTATTCTATCCGCAGGGTGGCCATATTCCGTTACCTGACAACCAAGTATGCAGACAAGATTAAGGATAACTGGTACCCTAAGGACCTGAAGTCCCGTGCACGTGTGGATGAGTACATCGCCTTTCATCATACAGGCACTAGGGGCAAGTGTATGGCACTCTTCGTGGCTGAGGTATATATTATATAAACTACTTTGTGAAATGTGAGGTCTTAGTCAAGTCAAATGGCCAATAGTTCATTGTCGATTTATCCCCGTCAAATGAGGTTTTTTCGAGCGAAAGCTCTGCCTATATACTGATTAACTTACTTTTTTCGCAATGAACATTGTTTTTTCGCTCGCTCGAAAAACTGAGTTTATCGAATTATTGGGCTTTGCCTTCTACAACCGTTCTCCGAGTTATGTTTTCTCTACTATGCCATCTTGTATTCCCTTTCATTCCACTTATCTTGTCTCCTCCCACACCTCCTCTCTCTCCGTCTCTCCCTCTCTCTCTCTCTCTCTCTCTCTTTCTCTTTCTCTTTCTCTTTTTATATCTCTCTATTTGCTTTCCGGTCCATCTTTATATATGTATTCCTTCTCTTTGTCTGGTCTGTCTCTCTCTCTCTCTCTCTCTCTCTCTCTCTCTCTCTTGTCGTTCTTTCTGCCGAAGACATTATGCAACTCAAGCTGGTGTTCGGCCGATCTTCTAAAAAAAATGCGAGGCGACAATCCGATCTTCTCGGTAGTAGAAGTAGGTCTATTCATACGGCTGACATCCTTTTTTAAATCTTTTCCAGCAAATGCCCTTTTTGTCAATCAACGTTTTAAAGCAATTACTTTATCTTTAATTCGGCCCCCCCCCCCCGCCTTCATTTTCCTTATACGCTGTCAATGAATTGAGATAGTGAGAGGTTCTTTTTCTTCAAAACGTCCTCAACGAAAGTGTTATGACACACTATAGAAATACAGAATATCAAACCCAAATCTGTAATATTCTTTCCTTGGTTTTCAGGTATTTGCTCCTGTTCCGGATCAGGAAAAAATCAAGACTGAGGCAGAGAATCTCAAGCAAGGTGTGGACAAGATCGAACAGAGTTTCCTTAAGGATAATGACTTCCTCTGTGGCAAGGAGATATCAATCGCTGATATCATGGCTGTTTGTGAGGTAATGTTTACTTATGTAAAGTATAGGCCTTTTTAGGGGTGTCGTTGTCCAGTGGGATACATCACCACATTGTAAATAAAGTTGGGCAGATGTTACTGGGTAAAATTGAAGTTGGGCAAATTTTGTCCGATAATTGGGTTATTTTCTCCCAACCGTTTACTATATGAATTTACCTAATGAAAGGTAAAAAAAAAAGTTTGGGTAATGTTATTGGGCAAACTAGAGTTGGGCCATTTTTATCCAACCATTTACTACATAATATATTTACCCAATTAAATGTTCAAAATAAGTTGGGCAGATGTAACTGAGCAAACGTAAGGCGGGCAACATTATTTTCCAACAATAGGGTTATGTTATTATGTTAGAGGTGTCGTGGCCGAGTGTATTTGTCACGGAACTATGGACTACGAGGTCCGTGGTTCGAATCTTGCCGCGGCACTAATCTCCTTTTTGCATATAATATTTTATCCAACTTATTTACCCAACTATAGTGTCTTACTTATGCAGTAGTATGCAAGCGCCTTGAGCATCCCCTGGGACGCATATGCGCGCTATTAGTATTGTTATTATTGTTATCATTATCATCATCATCATTATTATTAATTTACCTGAGATTACAATCACAAGGGATCGCCAGTGAGTGTACAGGAATTATGGATGAACCCCTTCCCGTCAACTTACCTGTCAGCAAATTTGGGACAACCTGCAATTATTAGTCAGCAAGACAGATTTCCGAGTTATATTAATGAATGTTTTCTACTCAACATTTACTCGCAATTTAGTTTGTGATTCATTCAAAAAATGATAACCAATGACTGCATCAAATAGGCGTACGAGCCAAAGTTCCCCGGATTAGGGGAGGGGAGGCTGAAATGACTTTACCTAATTTCAATTTTCCAACCTCTAATCTCTATTATAATAATTTTGTCATCAAAATATGCTAGACCTGTATTTGTAATTCAAATAAAGCACCTCACTGGTAGCGGTTGCCCAAATATAAAGGGATGGGTGCCCAGTGTCAGATGGCGGTTAATATGGTTAATTTCAAATATCCGGGGGCAGCAGCCCCCCCCCCCCCCCACATCTGTCTCCCGCTATCGTACGCCTGTAATTACAGAACTGTCAGAACCCCACACTTGGCAGAGGCTTCATAAACGTATTTTTGTTTCTGTATTTGTCATATAACATTTTCTTTCTCTTTCTTTTTGTCAAACTATTTCTACAGTTCGCGCAGTTCACCGTCAACGGTCGTGACATCTTAAAAGACAACCCCAAGATGAAGGGGTACATGGATAGAGTGAAGGCTTGTCTCCAGCCAGCTTTCGATGAGATCAGCGTTAAGTTATGTGCTTGGAGAGATTCGCATGCCAAATAGATCTTCCGAAGATTGAGATCATGACACGTTCTGCTTCCGAAAACAAATACCTCATTTCGTACTCTCAACATTAAGACCCATTTCACACTGCGATCCTAACATCGGGTGTTAGCCAACATCGCAATGTTATAAATGGCGACGTTTCAAAGCTAAGCCCTGCACCGTATTAAAAGTCTCATTCAGATATGACGCGGGAATCAGCCGCAAACAAAACCGCCGTGTACAAGAAAGGCAACTATAGTACGCGCAACAAAAGACTTGCGCGGATCCAATGAACTATGTGTTATAACATGCAGAAAGGTGACGCGCATTGCACTTTACGGCGTCATATTAAAAAAAAAAAAAAAAAAAGCCGCGGTTATGTCGTGTCATATCTGAAAGGGGTCTAACACCGTTTTTATAATGAAACTGAAGTGCGATATTTGGATTGTAACTATGGTTCTTTTTATTGTATATTCATAGAATACTTTTGTGTATTTTCTGTAAACGATTAATAAAATGGCATTATATTTATTCAGTCTGTTCCCAGCTTCACTCAATCAATGCAATCTTAGTTTCTGGGAAGTCCTTCTATTCATTTTGTATTTCCACTGTAAAATACATGTAAAACAAAATGAAAATATAATATATTTGATTTGCATGATACAAAGATTATAACATCAATCATAGTAGGTTGTAACAATTTGATATTGGCGTCATTTCGATTGCGCTATTACCTACACTAACAAAACATGTGAAGGCAATTAGCGCATGGGCCAATAATTCAACTTAATGGATCCGGCCGACGCATCAAAATGGCGGATCTTGTACAGGCATGCGTTATCCAGTAGACAGTCAGACATCTCCAAATACATTTTCGACTTCACTTGAACTTTGTTGACAACGATTGACAATCTTGAGTTTATATTGTAAATCCTTATTATTTTAATTAATAAAGTCTATATTGAGAAAACAAAAGTTGCATATTGCTTAATTATTATCATGTCTATTAATGTATTTCCCATGTGTTGAACGCTATTTGCCTAAAGCTTTGGGATGAGAATAGCCGATTGCATCTAGCGTGCCATTTCTAGATTTGGTTGCCCCAGTGTATCCGGTTGACTAGAGTCACAATTGTATCCGGTTCACTTTATGTCTGTTATTAGGCCTTGGATCGAGCTGAGGCAAAATATTTTGTTTCCTCTCCATCTAAAGATATTCATAGACCTTTGTATTATTTGTATTAAATATCAGCCAACAATTTTGGTTGAAGTATAAGGTAGGCAAGTTTGCAGAATATTGACAGCGAGAGACTCGGTGAGTAAGTAAACTAAAAGGAAAGGTAGTGGGGAATTGGGGAGCGAGAGAATAGAAAGTGATGAATGGAGAACTGGTGATTTTTCAAGACAGCAAGAGAGAGAGAGAGAGAGAGAGATAATGAGAGAAATGAGAAATAGACAAAGAGAGAGAGTGATACATACCAATGGAGAGAAATAGAGAGAGAGAGAGATAGAGAGAGGCACATACACACACACAGAAGTGGCATGAGAATGATAGTTTGAAATGCACGTAAAATTCAACGAGAGCACATAATGAGTTTCCCTAGATACGAGCCGAAAACCAGTTTACGAACCGGAGTTGCCTGAGCCAGTTTGTGAACGTAGACAGAGAGCTGACCAAGTGAACGTGCCTGTAGACCGACTCACATCTCCCTGTGTGAAAGGTCGCCTTCTTTAAACATTGTCCAAATAAGTACAATAGATAGACAAATCTTCCCAGTGTCTTTCTTTGCCCGTGTTTATCAAACAGTCGGAAAATGTATAAATATAACTGTTTGCATGTTTATCTGCATAAGTATGTTCACTCATATCTTATGCAAGCATTCAATGTAAAAAAAAAGGGGGGGGGTTTACAATATAATCGGGAAATATTTTTCATGACACAACACTAGATTATTGCTCATGAATACATGAACCGGATAAGTATGAGTAGTTTTATAGCTACATTTGTGCTCAAAATTTTTCATATACTTTTCATTGGTTCTATTTTTTTATTTTTGTGATGAAATGAATGAGTTTCGTCAAGTTTGCTTATAATATATGGCACATACAAGTCAAAGAATAAAAACAAGCGAAAGAATTAATTAATTTCAAGGAGTACTTTGTTTTGGGGATTTGTCAAAATAATGCCATGTTTAAAATTATTCAACCCTAGGTTTTCTTAGTCTATATGTCAGTCTACATAAAGTGTATCCTCTTTGTCATTGTCTATGTCCGTGTTACTGTGTATGCGTACTTACCTCTCTCTCTCTATATTTTTCTCTCTTCTCCTTCTCTCTCCCTCCCTCCCTATCTTTCTTGCCTGTCTTCCTTTCACATTGCTTTTTCTCCTCTTCTTCTTCGTCTCTCTCCATCTCTCTCTCTCTCTCTCTCTCTCTCTCTCTCTCTCTCTCCTGCCTCATTTAATCTTTATCTTATCTATCTCTAACTATGCTATATCTATATCTATTCAATATCTCTTCTTCTCCACCTCCCTCTCTTACTCTCTTTGTTTAATCCATAGGTTTTTCGTGTCATATCTGGAAGGGGTCGAACAGCGAATTTATAATGAATGTAATGATATATATATAAAGCATTAAATGCAAAGTTAAATTATATTTTCATCGGGATTTACTGATGTCGATGGTCAGGAGGTAAAATTTTGAACAATAAGATAACAGAAACAAAATGTAGTAGACACGACAGATCTCAAAATCTACGTTACGTGTCCTTTCAACACACTATACACTGTAAATATTGCTTGGAAAAGCATGGCTCTTCAAATGCCTTTACATTTTTAATATGACAAGTAACAGCTGAAACATGAGCCACATTTTTATGCCACGTGTTTGTGTAGTCCCATATACATCGTTCTGTGTACAGTGCTTGTTACTTTAAAGGGATCGTTTACCAATGTTAAATCTGAGATACAAGGTCCTACATGTTACCAGTGTCTGTGATATGGTGTAATATTGAAGCCCTAAAAAAATCGCGCTTCAAAATGATCAAGAAGTGCCTCAATAAAGTAAAAATCTTTGAGTGACCGGTTTTACCATACTCGTTTTCCCCAATAGACTGTAATGTCATGAAAACCGTTCGGCGAACGCTTTTCAAAATTTGTAATTCCAATCATTAATATCTTGATAATCAGACAGGCGATCGGCTTGTAAAAGTCATGGAGTTCCTGACTGACCTAAAGGTTTATAATTATCATTGCAGCATGAGCTAAATCAAGGATTATTTCTATATGATCTAAGACTAAGGGGGGGGGGGGGGGGGGGGGGGGGTAAGAGGACACTTTTTTTTTTTTTTTTGGTATCGAAATTTGAAAATTTGACATTTTGCTCCGTTGGGGGGGGGGGGGGGGGTAAGGTCATCTTTTTTTTTTTTTTTGGTATCGAAATTTGAAAATTTGACATTTTGCTCCGTTGGGGGGGGGGGGGGGGGTAAGGTCATTTTTTTTTTTTTTTTGGTATCGAAATTTGAAAATTTGACATTTTGCTCCGTTGGGGGGGGGGGAGGGTAAGGTCATCTTTTTGAGGTCGGCCATTGGAATTTTTTTTTTTTTTTTTTTTTTTTATTAAAAAAAAAAAAAAAAAAATCCAAAAGGGGGGGTTTTGGGAAATTTTGGGGGGGTTTACACACAACAAATTACCAAAGGGGGGAGGGGTTTAACCCCCCCAAACCCCCCCCCCCCTGTGTACGCGCCTGATCATGTATATCACGTTCTCTTTCTGTCTTTCCTTGTGCTATCCTTTGTTTCTTCCTTCTATCACCATCTCTTATGTTATTCTTTGTTTCTTCCTTATATCATCTTCTTTTATGTTATTCTTTGTTTTTTATCGTTCTATTACTTCCTCTTTCTGTCTTTTTTTTCAATGTTATTCTTTGTTTCTTCCTTCTTTCAACGTCTCTTATGTTATTCTTTGTTTTATCATTCTATCACTTTCTCTTTCTGTCTTTCCTTATGTTATTCTTTATTTCTTCCAACAGGGCATTGTGGCTCAGTAGTTAAAGCGCCCGCCTCATGAACGGGAGGTAATGGGTTCGAACCCCGGCCGACTCATACGAAAGACTTATAACAATGGGACCTTCTGCCTTCTAGGTAGGCGCTCAGCATATGAGATTGGAGAAGGGTGGAAATAACATATTATGTTATGCAGGGCCCGCTGGAAGAGCAGTTTCATAACTGAAGTGGCTACTGTGGGTAAATAAAACGTTATTATTATTATTATATTTTCTTATGTTATTCTTGTTTTATTGGTCTATCACTTTCTCTTCCTGTCTTTCCTTATGTTATTCTTTGTTTTATCATTCTATTACTTTTTCTTTCTGTCTTTCCTTTTGTTATTCTTTGTTTCTTCCTTCTGTTACCTTCTTTTTCTTTCTTTCCTTTTGTTATTTTTTGTTTCTTCCTTCTATCACCTACTCTTATGTTATTCTTTGTTTTAAGGATTCTATTACTTTCTCCTTTTGTCTTTCCTTATGTTATTCTTTGTTTTGAATATTCTATCACCTTCTCTTATGTTATTCTATGTTTTTTATCATTCAATCACTTTCTCTTCCTTTCTTTCTTATGCCTTTCTTTGTTTTTATCATTTCCTCTTGCTATCCTTTGTTTATTCTTCTACCACCTTTTCTTATGTTATTTTTTGTTTTATCCGATACTAACTTTCCATTTAAGTCATCCTTACGGTATTCTTCGTATCAGATTTTCGCGCACGGTGGATTCATGACCTGATTTAATCACCTGATCTCAAAAATTGGTCACGTGACTGACGAAAGCTCTGTCTCGAAAAATTGAAAGCACTAGAACGGACGTGAGTTGCGTAACGTCTCCACGCTCCAGTAACTCGTAGTAGCCGACGCCGGGTGCCTAAATCGAAAGCTCGCTAGTATTACCATAGCAACGGGAACTTGGCGAAATATTTCTTTAAAACATGATGAAAAATGCATCATCTGACATTATACTTCCTATCAAAGTAGTCATCTGCTTGGTGATATTAATTTCTCGCGATATATTCTATTTTTCACGTCACTTGCTTAAAAGAATATATCCCTTAGTAACCAAATTTGCCATTTTGGCTCATAACAAAGTGTCAAATTAAGAGCGCTATTATCTTTGTAGTTAGAAAGGCAATAGACTTGGAATTTAGATATGTTATCAACCATGTTTCTGAACATTTTTTAAGCAAGTTCAAAATCAGTTATCATCATAATCGATTAAATAAGAAGAAATATGTATTTTGGCGCAATTCATATTTAAGAAGAAGAAAAAATTTGGCTCAAAATTGTTTTGCGATCATCTCTTACCCTAATTAATGAGGTATTAAGGTATCATCTTGTAGGAAATGTATTTGTATATGACACATAACACATGGTAAATTGGGGTACTGTTAAAAAGTAATCCCAAGAATTGTACAACAGTGGGTTTCTTTTCGAGCAAAAAGTGACTTACAACACGTGTTTCTATGTGAATTTTGATATTTCGAATTTTACCCTGAGATTTTTATGAATTATTGACGTTTTGAAAAGTGGACAGGTATTTTCTTTTTGGAACTGACTTTTAACATGCGTGTCTATGGAATTTTGGCTATTTGACTTTCTTTCTATATAATTCTTTGTGTTTGACTTTCTGAGAAACGTTTACAACGCCGTGGTAGGTTGGATCAATATCTATTGTTCGATCAACTAAATAAAGGAACGTGTATTTACCCATACTGCGATCCTCGCATGGCAACACGAGGAAGCGTACAGTAAAGGTATTGATTTTGTATAGGTATAGTGTCTTTTGTATTCCTCTTTTCAGCAATAGTACCGTTGTTTCTTACTGATCGTGCATTGACTTTATGAACCTCTCAACAGACTTTCGACAAGCGAAGCTTGTTTTACTAACGACCTGTTCATACCGCCGAGTTCTTTGGACTTTCACACAACACTTTGATATAGTCATGGCTGTGTTTAAACTCTCACAAAACATCATTATGGACATACTTTGTATGTTGTACGATCCAGATGTAAAATACACACATCAATGAAATAAAACACTATGTAGAACAGCAATTTTACTTTATCTTACTTTATTTGTTTCCGTATCGATGTGGACAACTTCATGCAAAAGAGATTTGAATACAAAGATAACAATTACAATTTAGTTGTTACCAGGGAACAAAGATAAAATATAAAAACTAGAGAAATAGAACCAAGTCAAATTATTATATTATTTCAACGTAAATATGTAAAAACTGTTACCATACTTGTACGGCAAACATATAGTGTGTAGGTATAATTATCTTAAAAACATAAAACATAATAGAAAGGGTTTTATTTCTATTTTGGAACCGTTCATGTATGCACGTTTGTACTCAGAAGGGTCGATTGATGTACAACATGTTGAAACAGAGTACATTTGTCAGATATAATCATTGGGGTTGTCTACGAATTCTACGAAGTGCTATTAACAAGCTGTTTATATCAATTACAAAAGATCTCCGGCCCTGGACAAGAGCAAATCAATGCTTCATTCTTACCTTCACAATCAATATGCCCAGAGGTCCAGCAATATGAGGTTTACAACATTCTTAAAAAGATAAAAAGTAACAAAGCAGGATTGAAAGAAGAACTTCCACCTCGTACTTTTCGTGCAATTTGCATATGAATTAAGACTACCTGTAGCAGATATCTTAAATGCATCTTTTCATCAGGGCATAGTACCATGGCAGTGGAAAAGAAGTCAAATCGTTCCAATTCCAAAGTCTCAACCACCAACAATTGAACAACTACGCCCCATAGCGTTAACAAGTCGTCTCTCAAAAATGGTAGAATCTTTTATAGCCAAGTGGCTTTTGGAAGACATATCTAAGTACATTGACCCTCACCAATATGGCAATAGACCTGGTTTATCAACATCTCACTATCTTATTAGACTAGTGCATAACATTTTCGAAAATTGTGAGAGACCAAAATCTATGTCAACTTTTATTTGTACTGATTTTTCAAAAGCATTTGACCGATTGGATCACAATATTTTGATTAGGAAATTAATTGATCTCAATGTCAGACCATTTATTATTAATTGGATAATAAGTTTTTTAGAACAACGTTCTTAGTGTGTAAAATATCAAAATGTTTTTTCTGAATATGTAACCACCCATGCCTGGGTTTCTCAAGGTACGAAGTTAGGCCCAATTTTATTTCTAATTATGTTTAATGATGCTTGCCAAGATCAATCGTTGTTATAATTTAAACATGTTGATGATCTTACTCTACTTGAAGATCCAACTTTACAGAAACAATCAATATTACAACATGTATTAGATAATTTATTAGAATGGACAGAAGGTAATCACATGAAACCTAACCCTAAAAATGTACTGGAATGAGAATTACATGTATGAAAAATCCATTTATACCTGAGACCTTTAGTATTGGTGATTCACAATTGTCATATGTAAAAATCTATACAAATTATGGTTTTATTACTGTTTACTACTAGTCTACATCCAGCGAAATTTGAAATGGGACACTCACATAAATGAAGTTTTAAAAAAGTGCAATAGAAAACTATACATGTTTAGAATGGTTAAGCAATATAAATTACCAATTCCTGACTTAGTTCAAATATATGTTGGATACATTCGTCCTGTTTTAGAGTATTGTGCACCTGTTCTTAATGGAGGTCTTACCTTAGAGCACATACATAATTTAGAAAGAATTCAGAAAAGGGTTTGTAAAATCATTTTAGGGAAAAGTTATAATAATTATGAAGATGCCTTGAAACGATGCCAGCTTGAACGATTACAAATAAGGCTCGAAAAATCGCTAGATTCTACAACTCTTTGCTTTTTAGAGGGTGGTTCGGAGAAAGCATCTTCACTAGCTTCTTCACCAGCTTTGGAAACTTTAGTCTAGTATCCATGATCTTTCATATCAGGATGTAAATTTCGTACCTCTTCGTGTCGAACTTGCGACTATAGTTCCTATCACATAGTGAACAAGCTTAACGGTTGGCCATATCGAAAGTATTCGTGTTGACTCGTTGATGTTTAACTAGAAACTGATACAAAGGAAATTGAATCTTTATAATCATATAGTTTGTCATTTTGTCGTAACGACGTAGTTTAACGCCGTAACAACGTAGTTTAAATTCAGATACCGTCCGCCAAATTACTTTTTAGTTTCCTCTCTTTAAATTGATTGAGGATCTAAACTTTACAAATATGTGTCATTTATTAATTATAAATTTGACTAAGTTATGATAAAACATCGATAATTCTCGGTTTCGTTTTTTTCATGGACGCACTGTATTATAAGCGTCGTATAGAGACACTCATTATATGCTTTCGTTATATTGTACGTGCATTTCAAACTAATATTCTCACGCCACTTCTCTCTGTCTCACTCTCTCTCTCTCTCTCTCTCTCTCTCTCTCTATTATTTCCCATTCGATATTCATCACTCTCTCGCTGTCTATTTCTCATTTCTCTCAATCTCTCTCTCTCTCTCTCTCTTGCTGTCTTGAAAAATCACAAGTTCTCCATTCTAAGTCTCTCTCGCTTTCCATACCACAGTCCATGTCCCTTTTGTTTACTTTCTCACCGAGTCTCTAGCTGCCAATATTCTCCAAGCTTGCCTACCTATTACTTCAACAAAAAATGTTGGCTGATATTTAATACAAATAATACAAAGGCCTATGCCTTTCTTTAGATGGAAAGGGAACAAAATATTTTGCCTCAGCTCGATCCAAGGCCTAATAACAGACATAAAGTGAACCGGATGCAATTGTGACTCTAGTCAGCCAAATACACTGGGGCAAGCAAGTCTCGAAGTGGCACGCTAGATGCAATCGGCTATTCTCCTTCCAAAGCTTTAGGCAAATAGCGTTCAACACATGGGGAATACATTAATAGACATGATAATAATTAAGTAATATGCAACTGTTTTCCTTCAATTATAGACTTTATTGATTAAAAGAATAAGGATTTACAATATAAACTTAAGATTGTCTGCGAAATTCAAGTGAAATTTGGAGATGTCTGATTGTCTACTGGATAACACATGTCTGCACACGATCTGTCATTTGATGCGTCAGCAGGATCCATCAAGTCGAATTATTGGCCCATGCGCTATTTTCCTTCACAGGCTTTGTTAGTGCAGGTAATTCAATTGTATTTTATTTAGGAACTGTACATTAATATTGATCTAAGGAGACACGAACGAACGAACGAACGAGTATAGGTAATAGCGCAATCGAAATGATGCCAATTTCAAATTGTAACAACCTACTTTGTTTATCGATATTATTTGTTATCATGCAAGTCAAGTTTATTTCATTTTTATTTTGTTTTACATGTATTTTACACTGGAAATACAAAATGAAAAGAAGAACCTCCAAGAAATTAAGATTACATTGGTTGAGTGAAGATGGGAAGAGACTGAATAAATATAATGCCATTATAAAAATAAATTTACTGGAAATACACAAAGTAGTATATGAATATCCCAGATCTGACCATTTTCCATCACAATCCAGTCATAGCACTTTAATTTTATTAAAAATACGCTGTTTGACCCCTTCAGATATGAAACGACAAAACCGCGGATTTTTGTTTTATTTATACGATGCCGTAAATTGCATTACGCGTCACATTTCTGCATGTTATAACACATAGTTCAATGGATACGCGCAAGTCTTTTGTTGCGCGTAGTTGCCATTCTTCTACACTTAAAAAATCCCGTGTCATATCTGAATGAGCCTTTACGGTGGGCTTAGCTTTGGAACTTCGCCATTTATAAAAATGAAACGGGTCTTGAAGGTTCTATGTCCCATTTGCAGGCCAAACAAATGAAAATAATAATAATAATAATAATAATCTTTTAAAGTCCACTCTAAATTTTATTAAGTTAAACAGAAATTGGAAATTCTTTTTGCCCAATTGATCGTGAGCCCGGCAGCTTTGAGCAGCGCCAAATCGACGTTGCTTTATTCCTTGTTGTTAAACGCCAAACAAGGTAGCAGCAACTCCCGTCTTTTAACGTCTTTTGGTATGACGCGGCAGGGGTTCGAACCCACGACCTCCCGGTTGTGAGGCGGACACTCTACTGACTGAGCCAAAAGGTTCAATTCCAATGGTTTTTGTGGAAAAATAAGGACCATTAGTTGTCGAATCGACTTAAGTGATTGCAATCATCTAAGTAATAGTCTGATTTTCAGACCCTTTTACCGAATGGTCGTATGTGTTGTGCTGCACAAAGATTCAATCAGTTTAATTTTGGCCTTTATAAATAATGGGTTATTGATGTAGACAAAATGCTTATGTACCTGTTACAGCTCATTTTAGCTATTTTATTACCAAAGAAAAAAAGATGTCAGTCAGTCACTCAATAGTGTCTGGCAGCGAAGTCTAGAAGGTAAACAGGTTTCCTTGCATAATTTGAATACTAGGAAACTGCTAATGTTTAAATTAAACAGATAGGACATGACATATCCATAATTCCTGCAAAGTTCTACATAATTTGATGTTGGCTGCAAAAGGGACATAGAATCTTTAATGGTGGCAGTACGTAATGAGGATTTGTTTTCAGAAGCAGAACGTGACATGACCTCAATCTCCGGAAGGTCTACTTCGCGAGCGAATCTCTCCAATCACATAACTTAACATTGACCTCATCGAAAGCTGGCTGGAGACACGCCTTCACTCTATTCATGTACCCCTTCATCTGGAGGTTGTCTTTAAAGATGTCCCGATTTTGGACGGTGAACTGCGCGAGCTGTAAAAATAGTTCAAACAAAAGAAGAAAAGAAGAAGATGTTATATGACAAATTACAAATACCAAAACAAAAACACGATTATGAATCCTATGCCAAAGGTGGGTTTCTGACAGGTCTGTTATTACAGGCGTACGAGGAGGGCGGGAGAGTGTGGGGGGCCGAATACTTGAAATAAACCATTTCAAACGCACTAGGCACACTAGGCACCCATCCCCTCATATTTAGGCAACCGCTACCAATGAGGTGCTTTATTTTAATTACAAATTCAGATCTAGTATTTTTTCATGACAAAATTATTATAATACAGATTAGAGGTTGAAAATTGATTGGTCAGGTCATTTCAGCCCCCCCCCCCCCCCCCCTCCCCCTCCCCAAAACTGGCGAACTTGATGATGTTGATAACGCCAATAATGATGATAATAATAATAATAATAATAATAATAATAATAATAATAATAATAATAATAATAATAATAATAATAATAATAATAATAATAATAATAATAATAATAATAATGATAATAACAATAATAATTATGGCGGGCATATGCATCCCATGGTATGCTCAAGGCGCCTACATACCACTGCTTATAACCTGGCTTTTCGCATAACTGCCCTAATAAAGACACAATGTACCCATATATTACACCTGAGAAGAGAGTAGCGAGTATCAAATGTACATTTTCGTCTTTTCAAAGGACGTTAGTGCTGCGGCGGTATTCGAACCGGAAACTTGGTGATTCATAATCTGGTGACGTTTTTACTGGACTACGACACCCCTAAAAAGGCCTATACTTTACATAAGTAAACATTACCTCACAAACAGCCATGATATCACCGATAGATATCTGCTTGCCACAGAGGAAGTATTTATTTTTCAGGAAACACTTCTCGATCTTGTCCAAACCTTGCTTGAGATTCTCTGCCTCAGTCTTGATTTTGTCCTGATCCGGAACAGGAGCAAATACCTGAAAATCAAGGAAAGAACATTACAGTTTTGGGGGGTTAATATGCTGTATTTCTATAGTGTGTCAAAACTCTTTCGTTAAAAACGTTTTAAAGAAGAAAAAGATATCCCTCATTATCTCCATTCATTAACATCGTATATGGGAAATGAAGGCAAAGGAGGCGGGGCGAAGTAATGATAAAGCAATTGCTTTTAAACGTTGATTGAAAAAAGGGATTTTGCTGGAAACGGAAAACAAATGTTAGCCGTATAAATAGACGAACTTGGTACTTATACCACCGAGAAGTTCGTATTATCGTCTCGCATTGTTTGAGAAGATTACCTTGAGTTGCATAGTATATTCAGCATGAAGAATGAGAAGAGAGAGACACAGGAAAAAGGGAAGGCACAAATAGATAAAGAGGGACCGAAAAGAAGACAGAGAGACATAAAAAGAGAAAGAAAGACAGAGAGACAGAGGGAGGAGGTATGGAAGGAGACAAGGGTAGTGGAATAAAAGGGAATACAAGATGGCATAGTAGAAAAAACATCACTATGAGGACTGTTATGAAAGTTCAAATGCCCAATAATTCGATAAAAACAAATGTTTATCGCAAAAAAGTAAATTCACCAGTCGATATGCAGAGCTTTCGCTCGAAAAAAAACCTCTTTCCCGGCGATAAATCGGCAATGAACTATTGGCCATTTGACTTGCCAAAGACTTCACATTTCACAACATAGTTTTGATGTACATACCTCAGCCACGAAGAGTGCCATACACTTGCCCCTAGTGCCTGTATGATGAAAGGCGATGTACTCATCCACACGTGCACGGGACTTCATGTCCTTAGGGTACCAATGATCCTCAATCATGTCGGCATGCTTATTGATCAGGTAATGGAATATAGCCACCCTGCGAAAAGAATAGCCAACACAATTAAAGAATGGAAAAGGCCACCATGCGAAAAGGATAGCCAAAACAAGTATAAAACAAACTTCAGCGACTATGCAAACAAATATTCAAAACACGAAACTAAGAACGAAATGTGGCAAATCTGCAAAAGAATTAGAAGTCAAAAAACGAAACAAAGAACGGAATATAGCGACTCTGCGAACGTGTAGTCAAACAAATCTATGGGATATATCACTGAAAAGGTCATACAATATCATAAAAGGGATAATTGATTTTTGTTGCAGAGGGCACCACACATAATAATAATTATTTTGTGTAAAAATGAAAAACTGAGTGTCAGATTTGAAGAACATACAATATAAACGACAACATCATCTTCGTTCGATCAAAGTCGGTTCAGAGACGGCTAAAATATCCACAAAGATAACAATTTCTAATATTTGTGGTGCCCCACAAATATTCGATAATTTGAACCAGCCGCTGACAAAAACGAAACAGCGCCTTTTACGTTTTATTCAAGCCAATGCCAGTGTTGGCTTTTTTCCTGTTGGTTAAAATACGCAGAAAACCAGGCGGTCCTTTTTTATTATTATTGATAATTAATTTGTTACTTAACGGTCACCATATTTTTTTAAGTGGTGCTGAGTTGGTACGATCGTATTGGCTAACTTTCACATATGTTGGGGTCTAAATTTACTTTCATTGCAATTTTAGGTCATAAAAGGGCTCTAGAAATATCATAAATATGAGTAAAAGCAATAACCATGCACTTTGAAGACATTTGCGATTTGAATCAAGTACTCATCTATCCCTTTAAGAATATTCTTATTTTAATATGGACTTAACGTGTTGGTAATTGGAATTGGTCCTGCTGGTTGTATATACCTCACATTAAAACGCCCATTACTGATCATACTACTATACTGCTATTACTACTACTACTACTACTACTACTACTACTACTACTACTACTACTACTAATACTACTACTACTACTAATACTACTACCACCACCACCACCACCACCACTAACACTCCTAGTACTACTACCTCCAATTCTTCTACTACTACGCTATTAATACTTCCACTACTACTATTGATATTACTACTACTACTACCACCACTACCATAACTAGTACTACTACCTCCATTACTTCTACTAATACGCCATTAATACTTCCACTACTACAACTAGGAGTAATACTCTTTCTCTTATTTCTACCATTACTCCCGGTGCGAGGTGAAAGAGTTATAATTGTTATGTTTATATAATACATTTAAAATGATGGTGGTAGGCCTATAGCGCTTGTTATTCTGCAATACTCCTCCAATCGTCATGATACAGTACTCTTGTTTTGTCACATATGAAACACACGCATGACAGGGAAAAGCAAATAAGAAACAATTCTTACATTTCACCGAGGTAGAAATCGCCATCTTTCAGTCCTGGAAGTGTTTGGAGTGGGAACTTGTCCGCGAACTCTGGCTTCTTGTGCTCGCCTTAAAAATGAAAATAAACACCTTGGCATTGACATAATTATGTTACCCAAAAGGATTCTTAACGGCACAATAGGGGATTAACGACCTATAATCCATAAGATTAGGATCATTCCATTCAGCCCTGGAACCGTTTGGAGATGGAAATTGTTCCCGTTTTAGGGTTTCTTGTGCTCGCTTTAAAATACAAGTAAACACGTTTACATTAAAATATATATTCCTCCTTGTCATTGGTATCATGTGTTGGACTGTTTAAGACACAATAGGGGATTTAGGATTAGGCTTATTCGATCGGGTGGAGGATAACACCTGTGGCAGAGTATATTTCCCCTTTATTGCATGCCAACTCTGAACTGAGCCATGACATCGAGGTACTGAAGGGTGTCTCAATAAAAAAAAAAGTCCACCGGACTTTATCGAAAAAGGTGACGCAAAATAAATCAATGACGATGCTGGAGATAATGATAATGATGATAAGAAGAAGGATAAAACCAATAACAACAATAATACGATAATAACAACAACAATAATAATAATAATAATAATAATAACAACAACAATAACAAAAAATACTACTACTTTTCCTACTAATAATAATGATAGTAATAATAACAACACTAATACATGATAGAAACAGAAATATCAACAACAATCAGACTTTTTCTGGACAGAATATTGGGTTTACTAGTCATAAAATGAATAACATCTGAAAGCACTCCCCGCTTCCCCTATTCCAGGATGAGTATCTTTCCACCCCTGTCTCAAAGATGTTATGCAAAGGAACTTTTACAAGAATCACAATAGGCGTTTAGGCACAGTGACAGTGTTTGAAAAAGAGCTTACACGAAACGAGTGGGTTCTATTGCTGGTTAGTTGATAAGACGGTCTAAGTGACACTGAACAGAGAATCCGATCATGTCCTTACCGACCCATCACAGACAGGTTTGAAACAAAAAAATGATCTTCAAACTTCTTACTTAGAAGGGTGAAAGGATAATGTTTTAGTTTTATTGAGATTGCCAATGACTAAGCAATATGTCTGCCTAAGCAGAAGTAGATTAGGAGGACAAAGGGGAAAAAGGAGTTTGGATGGTTATACAAACCAACGATTATAGGACAATCGATGATAACGATCTAAATTGTGTCTTTGTAAAACGTATGCTAGTCGATGTATGAGAATGAATATTAAGCATTAATTTCTCGGAACCCACATATTTTCTAAACTTAGACCAATTTATTTTAATCAAACTCTTTTCAAATTCTTGACATGTGACCGACCCTGAAATATAGGAGGAAAGCACCTGTGTACAGTTTACCGTCTCATAGATATTTTCGGGAGTATTTAACTTCAATTTGTTATTGATTTTATTTATTGATGTTTAAGAAGAAAAGAAGAAAAGAGAGTATAGTGACTACCAAAGCAATCCACCTTGGTAACATCCAACAGACCGATACCAGAGAAAAAAAAACAGTTAGCCCGGAGTGTATTGGCGGTGTGACTTGGGCATGTAAGTGATCAGCAATCGTCATGAAGGAAAGGGGGGGTGAGCAAAATGAATAGGAGAAAACAAACTTGAGTCCCAATTTTCCCACAAGTACACATCTTCATCAACATCGATTAACACTTAGGATTGTGCTATAAAACTGCTATTCCCCGTTATTAAAAAGAGGAACAAAACTCATCTGGAATGTTTTTGCACGGGCGATTCCTTTTTGTCTCCTAATTTTTGTTTTCTTCGCAAAGAAACCCGGAGCCCTTAGTTTATTAGACCTTGATGAAGTTGAAAAGCATAAACATTATTTTCAATGATATAGGCCTAACTTTTCAAGAAAATAAAAATATAACAAGGAATGTTTTTTGGAGTATAAGTGTTCATAATGTATCATCCTGTATATGCCTGTTGAACTTTCTATGATTCATGTAGCTCGAAACTGCCACAATTGCATGACTAAGCAATTCCTTTTCAATTCCATTCGTATACACATTGCATCACAATATTGATCCTGTACACATCGACCACCTAAATCTTTGATTCAATTGTATGCGGACTACTGTAGGGGAAGGGGGTCGTTGCTAACGCATTTAATTGTTGACACGATGAGTTGGCATTTTGCACGATACCATGTACGCAGATGGAACTATGTTTGTTTGCATTTAGTAATCGGTCATTTTTTTCGTTGGCATATTGCACGATACCTGGTAGGCCAATGAAACCATATTTGTTTGCAATTAATAAGTCATTTTCGTAATGAAATTACATAGTTTAAAGCACCTCCAATCTTTGTTAATTAAGTGGCTCGTTATAAATTATTTCCCCTGTTACGAATAATTGAATAACCTGAATAATATTCAAACAATCACCATATGAGAATAATTACCAAGGCAATTAACACCAGCGCCCCGTCACATAAAGAGTTGTTATTAATCGCAACTTATTTGTATTTGATATCACTGCAATTATGTACATCAGACATAAGTGACTGTAAACTTGCGACTGATTAGATGACTTGCGATTGATTTGGATCAATCGCAACTCGTTATAAGACAGGGCCCAGGTCTGAAAACAGGAGAATAGGAGGGGTGTCATGGCTTTCTAATCGATGTCATAGACAAGTATTTGTTTATTTGTGGGTAAACCTAAAGCGCTACTGTTTTCATCAACTGGTGGAAAGACCAGATGTACGCGGAAAGACAAGAAGTGGTTCAAGAGAATCATTACAAGCTCCTAACTCTATGAACTATCATATGCTGGGCAAATATAAATGCTCTATAACGTCTTCTACATAAAATTTGATGAGGCATTGGAATTGCATTGGTGTTCAAATTTATACAAGGTAAAATAAGTTAATTCAATAGACCATTTTCTAATGTAACTAAATATAATGCATGTGTCTTTGTGAAGTGCCTAAATACAAATATATTGTTCACATGTAATGAAATAATTGCATTTTCATAGTAAGAACGCTAAATATACATACAGTATATAACGTGTTGTTAGGTAGGGTGGGCCACAATGTTTGTCCTACCTGTCAATAAGCAATGTATGCAATTTGTATTTCGAATATTGAAATATAATTATTTGTATAAAAGTGTTGGGGTAGTGGTCTCGTAAACAAGAGGGTCCCGGGTTGATACTTCAAAACCCAGTAAATACGCTCGTGCCCTTTAGGAAGGCATTGACTCTCATTATTTAGTCCTTTCGGAGACTTGGTAACATTGTTCAAATGAGAGGAAATTCTGATAGGGTAGTGACTTCAATGCTAGATATACAATACAGATAATATGAAAGTTTAAGTGAAAACAGACCATTATTAATGATTACAATCTGGAAAAACTGATCTGATCTCTCAACTTTATTATTATTATTTTATTTAATTTGATTTGAATGTAAATCGTCACAAAGCAATGAATTGGCTATGAATATGAATATACCATTCCAAACATGTAAGTGTTGACAGATTTTTTTTTTAAAGTCTGTTTTACGTCTTGTTTTCTTTGGAAAAAGGTTGGGAAAATTCAAAAATTGGTTGGGAGAATTTACTGTTAGAGGGTGTTGACCAGTGACGCCTACAAAGAAAGCAAAAAATATCGTTGTGGTTTGAAAAATTGTGAGGATTGATTGCATGTTAGAGGGTTAGTACAGTAGAAGGAATATAATAAGTAACATTTCATACAAACATTACGCAGTAATTTCATCAACCTTCAACAATGGTATCGGTACACGATCCCCTGGTTGTTAACCTATAAGCATATACATGCTTTCTTAGCAGTCAGTTAAAACAATCATCATATACAATCACCATATACAAATTGTTTGTATTTTATGAGGCACCATATACATTAAAATGGTATATAAAGGGTTTGTGTTGGGTCCGTGATTACATGCTGCTTGGGTAGTGAGCACATTTTTGTTTAGTCTTCGAAAAATTAAACAGATTGCACCCCCCAACCCCAACCCTCCTTGAGCGCCAGGGGGGGGGGGGAGCATCTCCCAAAAAAGGTAGAATTAACGTGATAAGCCAAAGGCATCTAAAACGTTGAAGCGTTTAAATCTGAAACGCAGACATTTTTGCAATCTACTTGATGTCTTCAAATTCATTTTGAACCAGTTAGAAGGACCCAGACAACTTCATGGCTACCGAATGATGCACGCCAAGTGCAAATACAATGGAATCCGGGGGCCCGTTCCTAGCAACCGTCATAAGTCTAACGTCTTGACTTTCCCATTGAAACCTGTGTTATAGAATTAACACGCGTTTCAATGGCATAGTCAAGAAGTTAGACTTATGACGGTTTCTAGGAACGGCTCCAAGACTCGCTTAGATTAATTTTGAAGAACTTGATCCTGAAGGAGTTTAAATGAGGAAAGGCAGACGACAAAGAAAACATGCATATATAAGGACCCAACTTCGTTTGTCACATAGAGGCTGTTCACACCGGCAGAGATAGCGCGCGCCAGACCGCGCTATCTCCGCGGTTTGGAAGGTACAACGTCGTTTCGGTCCGCCCAACAGCGAGCCACGGCGAGCCAACACTGGAGCACCTCTTGGGGGTGGTCCACGAGAGATAGCGCGGGCTAGCGCGCGCTAGAAAAAAAGGGGGTGCTACGATAGACCGCGCTATCTCATTGCGGTATGAACAGCCTCATAGGGCGTGTTCACACCGCAAGGGGGGACCGTGGGCGGACCATGGATCGCGCAATCGTAGCGCGACCCACGGTCCGCCCATTGGCATTCGCCGGATCCACACCGCAGTGAGATAGCGCGGTCTAACTGCACCCAAGTTTTTTGAGAGGTCCTGTTGTCATGACGCGTGACGTTCTGAATAGGCCATTTTCGTAATGTAACCAAATTTAATGCATACGTCTTTGTAAAGTGCCTCAATACAAATTATTTCATTCACCTGATAAGAATAATAGTATTTCAATAGACAGAATCCAAACTGCATACATTAGTTGTTGTCAGGTTGGACAAGCATTATGGCTTGACCTACCTATATAGCAACACTTAATATATGCAGTTGCATTCTGACTATTGAAATACTATTGTTCCTATCAGGTGAATGAAATAATTTGTATTGAGGCACCTCACAAACACTTATGCATTAAATTTGGTTACATTACGAAAATGGCCTATTGTACCGATTCAGATTCAGATCGCACCAAAATAGAATGAGTATAAAATTCCCCGCGTGTAGAACGATGAAATCCGGCGTGCTATCGTAGCTCGGGTTCACACCGGTAGATATAGCGCGGTCTAGCGCGCGCTAGACCGCGCTATCCCTCGTGGACCACCCCCAAGAGGTGCTCCAGTGTTGGCTCGCCGTGGCTCGCTGTTGGGCGGACCGAAACGACGTTGTACCTTCCACACCGCAGAGATAGCGCGGTCTAGCGCGCGCTAGACCGCGCTATCTCTGCCGGTGTGAACAGCCTCTAGACGGCTATGACAAATTGCAACCATGTGGACTGTGCATCAGCGGTTGTAACGATGGATTTGTAAAACGTAAAATAATATGGCCTAATGTATATCATCCAATTATTGCATGATAATTTCGGGAAGCTTTGAAGGAGAGTGAAGGACGCCCATTTCTTGTCCTTGTAGGCTATCGTTACATTCAGGTGCTTCAAGAAGTGCTTCGCAGCATGCAGACTGAAAGAGTGTATCTGGCAGGTGCTAGTACTGCCAATCAGAGAATAGAAAGTTGGTGGAGTTTCTTGAGGAAAAAAATAGTTTGGACTATTGGATTTACATTTTCAAGTATCTACTTGAAAGAGGGCTATTTACTGGAGTATACTAACATGTTGAGGGATTAATGGGACCATTTGCCCTACGATTTTTCCTTTATCTAGATGGTATTTAATCAGCTTTACTCATGATCTGCGTAATCAACCTCAATTGAGGTTGATATATCTAACAAGATTTTTATACATGACTGTCCATTTGTGTGGTTATTTTCTCAATGGATAAGGCGAAGACATCACTATTGATTCTTAATTAAATTATACAACTTGTTATGTTAATTGTACCATACAAAATACAAGAAATAGAAAACCAATCAATATATATGATTAACAATATCTTAATTTCACAATAAGATTAGAAAAAACAACTTTAAAAATTCGCAAAAAAATTAAACTTTAAAATTTGAAGAAAAAAATAACTTAAAAGTTCGAAGAAAAAAAAATTAAATTCCAAAAAAAAAATTGAATTAAAAAAAACTATAAAATTAGAGAAAAAAAAATTAAAAATCAAATCTCCCTTTTTGTTTATGTTCCTTCCGGGACGTGAAGTATATATTCTTTTGATAATTTGTTCATGTCCCTTTCGGGGCTCCGTAGTATTCATAGCCACTCATTCATAATAAACCAATCACAACGAAAAAGCATACCCGCAAAGATGTCGATGTATTTAAGCTCATGTGGAATACCCGTCAGCTTGAGAAAGATGACCACAGCACGGCATGGCTGGGATCTCAGATCAACGTACAGCTCGATGGTCATGGTGGCCTTGAATTCTCTGACTTTGACCTGGTTCTATTAAACTCGGAAGGTGTGGTTTTGATCCTTACCTGTCGACTGCTGACAAATACAATGACACGGCAGTCGATATCTATGCTGACGGTGAGAGCAGAGTGTTTGTGCGAGCTCCATGCATGTGGACAATGGGACGATTACGCAATAAAAGCGTACAAGTGGGCACAATGCCGAAGGGAGGGACGCTGTTTCTCTCTTTTAAAGGGCAATCCAAGGACAAATAGTAAGCAAGTTATGAATACTCTCATGTCATGTGGTATATGCATGGTTACTAGGAGATTTGTGTAATTACTGATGTGTGACGTCATCTTGGCGCCATTTTGTGAATTTCTAATATAGGCCATATTTCATTTATACATCGTTTCTGCACAACAAAATCCGCGCGCGTCAAAATTTAAAATGCTAAATATCCTTTTTTTTTTTTTTATCAAATAAGATTATGTTTCAAAATATGTCAAGTGTTTCAAAATTGTCTGCGCGTAAGCGCCCATACGCATATTATGCGCGCGTGCAGCACGTACAGAACATAGAAGCGCCGTTTTTTGTTGCATGGTTTGTCTTTCTGACACTATTCTTGGCAATTTCCAACTATTTACAGTCATTCTTGACATTCAATAATGCTACACGCGCGCGTCAAACTTTCAAATGTGTGCGCACGTCAAAGGCAATTTAAAATAAAAAGGGGTAAACATTCCTATCTCGAATCCGCCATAGCTCGTCAGAAAGGCTGGAGACGCCCCAAATTTGTTTCTTTTTGAAAGCCTATAAGTTAAAATAGAATTATGAATACAATTGGGGGGTCAATTATTTTGCATATGATCTAAAAGAAATGATTTTGATAAAATGTCGTCCTAATTGTTATAGCCTTTTCATTTGACAGTAGGGGCTTTTCGATTTGCACGACGAGAACTTGAACTGCAACGTGTGACACTGTCAGTGCCTTTATAAAAGGACGTCACACGTGACTGCCAGTGCCTTAAAAGGAAATCACACGTCCATGTCCACGCAAATCGAAAAGTCCCTAATATCTCACTCAAAGATGGTTGTAGTTGATTGTTGTAGCTTAGACTATTTTCTACAAGATCAACTACACAATTTTTATTTCGATGACGTCATCAAAAAAACAAATTCGATTAAAGGGGACATGTCAGAATTTTCTTAATTTGCGTGTCACGCCTATGGAAGGTGAATTTCGTTCACATCATGAATCTACATGCATCGTTCTTTGAGCAGTATCTCGCTTGTTTTTGCTTTATTCGCTCCCACATGTTGGTATATTATAGCTACGACTATGGGCTATGGGTAAAATATTTTCTGTTTCTATCAGATGTCAGGATCACGTCGAGATTTTTAACTCAAAGTTGAAATTACGACTTTGCCAAGGTCGTTTTCAGCTTTGCGTGTAAGCGAAATATAACGGAAATATGTTGTTAATTGGGCACTTGCCTCCCATTCAAGCGACCCGGGTTCAATCGGGGAGTATCCACACACAAAAATCTTTCTTTTGCAATGGTTTTACCTTCATTCTAGATTTTAGAAAAGGCAGTACACTGTTATTGTAGGATAATCTCAATGATAATTGTCTTCAGAGGCAATCGGGCTTCCGACCGCTTCAATCAACAGGAACGGCGGTGGGTGATGTGAATGATTTTTTTAATACTGAGGGGGAAAGATAGGGGTCTTATCTCCGATGCATTTTTATTAATGACCTCTGTAATTTGCCCTATTGTGAAAATACTAAAATCTGTTTATACGATGCTGATGCGGCAGTATTTTGCCAAGGCAAAGAAATTGCCCTTGTTGAGAATACGCTTAAATGTGAGTTTCAAAAAATAGTTGACCACCTTGAAAGAGATGACTTAGTGTTGAATATTCAGAAGTGTAAGATCATCACACAAATATTTATTTTAAAAAAGTATAATATCATATTATTTGGGACTAGAAAATGAATTAAAGATTCTCTGGGTGGCCATTGCATGCCTTAAACCATAATGCATGGCCCTACAGAGAAATTGTTCCTGTTGGGGAACGGGGGAAAATGCAATGAATTATTGATAATTTATTGCATTTTCTTTGTGTTTTTTGGTATATGTGGGGGTGGCCACGTACCCTATTCTCCGCTGCGTACAGCCATGATTTAGAGGATAAACAATGGCGTCGTTACTGTGAGGCCTAATAGGATATTTAAAAAAAAATAATGTGCATAAGACTAATTCTGTTTGGTATAATTTGCATGTACTGTATCCTCTACCTACGCCACTCGCATTCCCTTTCCATCTGCCCCGGATTCTTTCTCCATGGCAATGCAGAACCGCGTCAGCAAAACTGCCTTTAAAGGAAACCAAAACCTTCATACTAAGTTACTTTTATTGTAAAATTTAAGATATTTGAAAAATATCAGTGAAAATTTGAACAAAATCGGGCAAGGAATAAGGAAGTAAGAGCTTTTTTAAATTACTAGTCACTAGAGGGCGGTATTCAATTTGATGACATCATCTGTGGACAACTCTCCATGCCTTTTGTACATCAAATTTCATGTTTTTCCTTCTTTCTTGTGATTGAGATAATGCACTCCTCTGAAAGCAAGATATAGAATGCAAAATGATATTCTGCTTCACATGTTATGAAGTCGGATCAAGAACACAAATAAATACAAAGAAAACAACAAAATTGTGAAATTTTATGTACAAAAGGCATGGAGAGTTGTTCACAGATGATGTCATCAAATTGAATACCGCCCTCTAGTGACTAGTCATTTCAAAAAGCTTTAACTTTCTTATTCCTTGCCCGATTTTGTTCAAATTTTCACTGATTTTATTCAAATCTTTTAAACTTTACAATAAAAGTAAGGTTTTGGTTTCCTTTAAACATGTCTAAAGGACCGTAACTGCAACCTCCTAGAATGAGCTATGCGCACGCTGATAATTCCCCTTGCTACACCGGATGTTTTTACTGTGGAGAAACAAATAACAAGCACCAAAACTGCCGTTATGGAGAAGAGATTGAGTGCTATTTTTGCCATGAAACTGGACACAAACGTAAATTTGGCAAGAATACATAAACCAACTAAAATTAAGGCCAGGAAGACTGTGCTGATATTGACGCGCTTAAGAAACATTCTCCTAAAAAGCAAATTAAAAACTTGAACACTCTCGAAGCAAAAGGACTGAAAGTAGTACATCTCAATGTGCGAAGCTTATTTGATAAACTTGATGAAATTCTTTATTTGTTGAAAACTATGAACTTTGGTTTATTATGTCTATCTGAGATCTGGTTAAATCATTTTAGTGCTAGTGAAGTTGTGAAAATAAATGGATACACCCTCTATCGGCGAGATAGAAATGATGGTCGCCGAGGTGGTAGTGTTTGTATCTATGTAAAAAAAAAAAAAAAAAAGCTTCTTCGCATGCATTGAGAGAAATGATCTTTATGACGATTCCATTAAATTAATGTGGCTTGAAATTCAAAGGCTGAAACTAGCAAAGTTACATTTTTTGTTGTTGTAGTTATAGACCTCCTGATGCATATGCTGAGTATTTTTAGAAGATCACAGAAAATGTTGAGAAGGCAAATGACACATATATGGAATTACTTAAACTCGGGGATTTCAATGTCGATTACAAACTTAATGAAACTCTTCATGGTAATACTGTTCATAGCTTAGGGAAATAATTTTTACTAACCCAATCGGTCACCAAGCCCACGAGATTTACTACAAAATCAGCAATGTGTATTGATCACATTTCGAGCACAATACCTGAAAAAAAACATATTCTAACTGACGTACTTAATATATCATTGAGTGATCACTATCGTGTACATACTGTCATTGATTTAGAGAATACAAACGAAAATCATAAAATGAGACGGTATCTCATGATAATCATTGTGAATATGCTAAGTGCAAGATTTACGTTGACAGATTAAGAAATGAAAGGAATAAGGCTTATTTCACTGATGTATCTCACAAATGTAGTAATAATGGTAAGAAATTATAGGAAAGAAAAGCAACAGGTTACAGGCATGACTAAAAATGATAGTTCATCATCTTGTTGTATAGACAGTGATAAAATTAATACTTTATTTGTTAATTTTGGTAATAATATTATCACAATGATTCCTTAAAGCAAATCTATTAATGGAAAAACCCAGCATATGTATGTATGAATTCAAAATAGAGTCTCTGTAAAAAGGTGAAGTACTTCAATATTTGCTTCTCTTAGATAAATTAGTAATAGTGATGTACAAGGATTCGATTATAAGATTACTTCAAGTAGCAGCAGCATATATATATATATATATATATATGTGTGTGTGTGTGTGTGTGTGTGTATCTTTAACAGATATATCTAATTCAAGCATAAAATGTGGAGATGTAGCAGAAGACTGGAAATTGGCTGGAACAACTTCAATTTGAAAGGGAAAAGGTTCAAGGAATGAAGAAACAAACAACCTATCCATCTCTGTTGTATTGAAGCCATATCCCTTAAATAATAGAAAAAGAAATTGACAAACAACTGCTACGTTATTTTCTTAAACACAATCTTATCAATATTGAACAACATGCTTTCCTACCGAAACATTCAACGAAAACTTTTCTGCATAGAGTTATCTACCACATCAACCGAAACGTATGGCTCTCGTGCTTTTTCAACGGCAGCGCCTGTCTTGTGGTACCAACTTCCTGACCAGCTTCGAGTTGTTGGGAGCACTGGCGGCTTTGGGAGAGCCTTTTTTTCGAGGGTTTCCTAGAGCTGATTTGTTGACATAAGATGAAGGAAAAGTTCGAATTCGGCTCTGATCGTAAAGACATCGGGCCACACAAGACAAGACCTTAATGGGAAGGGTCATTTTTGTGTTGAATTCGTGTGTCCGTGTTGCCCTCTATAAGGCCATCGTGAGGGCATCTTGTCAAATCGTGTCCTCTTCGTCTTTACTTCGTGTGATCAGAAGTTCCATCGGTCATTTATCGCCTAACGAAGACAATACGAAGGAAACTTGAAGCTGCCCGATTGTTTTCGGAAGGCAACATGTGAAGCCCTCG